TGGGGCGCTCCTCTGGCATCTCTGAAGGAAGCAGGTCCTTAGTGTGCTGGCTAGGTGCTTGACTCTTCATCAAGGGTCTTTCCCAGAGCACTAGGTACTTAACGCATTTAAGAGGAATAGTGCAATGAGCAGATTTTGATGGGACAGATGGCACTGACACCCCCTGAAAGAGCAGTAAGGTCCTTGGGAACTGTGCTAGCTTCTCTGTAAGTGGGGCACATGCATGTCTTGCCAGGCAACCTGGTGCTGCCCACCACATCCTTCACCAGTAGGGTTTGGAGGCACCAAGAGGACCTTCGTCCAGAGCAGGTGTGATGCTTGTGCCTCTCATGGCTACTGGTGACACCAACTCTGCAACCACCATGAGCTTCTCAACAAGAGCTGCCACGGAGAGAGCTAGGGCTACAGATCAGACAGACGGGGGTGCCAGTGCTGGCTTCAGCCTCCTGCCTTCTGGTTTTGAGTTATTCCCTTAGCCTTTCTGAGCTTCAATTCTTTGATCAGTAAATGGGCTGCGATTGGGTGACTTCAAGGATGGCTGCCAAGTGCCCCTTCTCCTTCGTGTTAACTAGCTGGGCCTATCCAAATATCACAGAAAACCAGTAAATAGTTACAAGTATTGGGGCTGTTTATGAGAGAGAAAATATGGCATTAAAGAGGGACTTTACAGTAAGTATTGCAAATATTGGGTATGTAGAAAGGAGAACTGGAAATCAACTCAAAGGCATTTCGGAAGGTTATGTGTTAGAACTTGCACAGGAAGAACGAGCCTGTGGCGGATGCAGGCTGGGGAGGCCTTTGCTGGCACTGACCGACCTTGGAGATGCCAGGCAGCACTAGCCCTGGGCCTGAGCTGGGGCCAGGGAGTTCACATGCAGAGTGTGGCCAGCAAAGCTGATGTCCTGCCCCCATCTGGCTATCACTGCTCCTGGATACACATTCCCTCCCTTTTCCCTGCCTGTCTTTCTTCTTCCTCTCAGGCTTCTCACCTTTTCCTTATCAAACTTCTTCATCAAGAGTGTGCAGAAGGCTTGGTCCTGATGGAAATGGGAGGCCGGGGCGTGTTTGCACCTGGCCAGGTGCTTCTGGTGCACATTGAACTTTGAGCACCATGGCTCTGGCCTAAACGGCTGGACACCCCCTCACCCCCCGCTCCGCCTGCAGATTGGTGTCCACAGTTGTACTGGAGACTGGTGCTGGGGATGGTGGGGAGCTGCCTGGGGTGAGGGGGGTATTTGAAGACTTGTGAGCATCCAGGCCTGCTCTTTCAGGCCACGGGGAGAGGAATCAGGGCTATCTTTGTGAAGCTGGTGGTCAGTGCAGTGGGATGTTAGGTTGGTCAGTGGGACAAACCAGACAAACTGTGGCTCTTCGAGGCTGCAGATGGAGTGAAACCTCACCTTTTCTTGGAAGTGAGCATGTGGAAACCTCACCTTGGTGAGTCCTGGGCCAAGAGAAAGTCACTACCAGACAGCTGCGGTCATGCATTTTACACCAATGAAGAGTGGGACTTGGAGTCACTGATGATTGCTAGATGTTGATGAAGATGATGAATAATGTTCTTCATCTGGCTATAGGCAGCCTCATTTTTGAAAAGATTTTCAATGTAAAGGGTCATTGGCAATAAGCCCTCTCTTTTGCTTACATTTGGTTCTTTGAAACACTTTTTTTTCAGTGCCCCTGTATGCAAGGCATGGTGGTAAGCTTATTTACAGCTCCCATTCTGAAAGGGGCTACCCACTCAGATAGTGAATCTAACAAATGAGGGAATTCATTTTTGTTAGGGCCACAAAGACCACTAGTGTGCTTACTGCAGCATATGCCAGGTATGGCACAGAATGCTTCACATGGTTATATTAAAAAGCCCACGTGCTGTGCACCATTTTACAGAAGGAACTGAAGTGCAGAAAGAAGTCTAAGCCACATAGCCCATAATAGATTCAATTCACTTTGACTTCAGAGCCTGTGTAAGCCCACTCCAGAAGCTACCAAGTTTAGCTAGTACAGAATGGGTAAAACATCGTCTTGAATTTTAGAGTTTTTTTCTTCATAAAAAGAAGAGATGTTGATTCTGTACAACTTCAGAATGTCTGCCAATTGGCATGTGGCACAAATCAGGAGAAATACTCGAATCTTGTCTGGTTTCTGAGGTCTACTGCAATCCGATGATGGTAATTGTTTCACCCAGGGGAACTGCCAAGTGGGTGACATGTAATTAGTTGCTGCAGATCTTCTGTTAACAGCCGGTTCTGAGTGCAAGTAACCTGATTCTGTTGTATCAAGAGCAGTTGAGGGAATGTGTCCCACCAGGTTTGAAGTGCATTCAGAGCTGGCGGATGCGGGCTCCAGTACCCTTGGCAGTTGTGACTTCCTGTTTTCAAGATAAAAGACTTACAGAGATTTGTGAGAGAATTTCAGAAGGCTTTGGTGAGGCTATCACATACAGCCCAGAGAAAATACTTAAATAATTTAATTGCAGATGAATTTGAACCATATGGCTAGTTTTCTTAATGTGCACATCAGTTTAAAAGAGGATTACCAGATGATCTATAAAAGATGTTTGATGGTATATATAACCCAGAATATTAAAGAAGGGAAATTTTCAAAATACTTGAAAAAAATGGGGTTGGTTTTTCTAAACTCAAAGATTCGGAAGAGAGACAATTGTGTTTAGAGGGAGGACATTCTCACTTCACTCTGGTTTTTGCATAGACAGCGAGCGCCATGTTGTCTAGGGCACAGTCCTCCCCGGGGGGCTTTGGTGACAGTCCATCTCTTGACCATCTGCTACCTGCTGAGAATACTGTTTTGTTTTATGTAATGCCTACTGGGCAAGGCAGTAGTGTGTTTATACTCTGAAGGGAGCTGGTTGGCTCAAAACCCTAGTTTCACATTCATTAGAAGAGGTTGGGAGGTTGTGGGGATGGCCCATGGGATAAGGGGAGTTTAAATGAAAGGGGCATTGTGGAAAGGGGATGGAACTGGGAGTCAGAATGGTTAAACTCAGGTCCCTGCCTGGCCCTACACAACTATATGACCGTCCGTCAGCTACTGCCTCCCCTCTGTGAGCCACAGTTTTCTCACGGGGATGATGACATTTATCCTACTTACCTTGGAGCTGTTGTAGGGACCACTGGATAAACCATGTGAGAGCTTGCTGCAGACCATAACATTCCGTAAAATAGGGGGATTGCAAGAGCCAGCCTCAGCCCTGTGCCCGAGGCTGTTCAGTGGGCCTGGTCTCGTTCTAGGATGGACAGCAAGGCCAGAGCCTGGAAGGCGGAAGCATGTGCAGTGAGCAGGAAGCCTCTGTCCCTGCTGTTGGGCTGTGTGGCTTGTGTTTAGCGAACCTGGCATGGTTCAGGATAGAGCCGCCAGCAGTCACTGCAGGCAACAAGCTGTGCCATCTGCAACCAGGCTTCTTGTCCTTGGAACTCCTGACTCCTCAGGGAATCCTCCACCTCAGGAAATTTCAAAGACCCTTTAAAAATTTTTTATTGCTGCTTATTACTGTGGAGTGTCAGGGATTGCGAGTCAGAATCAGTTTGTCCTGTAGCAGAGAACTGCCATCCTCCCCAAGGCCCAGCAGGGACAGCAGGTTCCATCCCCAGATGCATGGCTGGGAAGGTCTTGGGGCTGGAACAGAGCTCAGGGCAGAGGATGCTGTCTCTGCTCAATGATTTATGTTTCACCTGACCCACATAAGACCCGTGTGTGTTCTCAGTAGATCTGCTCACTTTACTGACTCTACTTTTGGATCAAGAACAAAAGAACTTTAAAACAATTACTACTTTGATTACTGGGGAAAGTATTTGTTGAGCATGACGTGGTGTTCTCTTAGTGGCCTGTAGGAATGGGGTGCCTAGTGATTGGTTGGGTAGCTCCAGCTAATCTACAAGTGGATATTCCTTTGGGTTAGATTCAGGACATTGGAACCAGGTGTCTGCCATTTCAGCCTCTCCAAAGGCTATTATTTATGTGTTCCTGAAGAGCATGCTAACTTGTGATATTAGATTTTGTTTTTATGCCTTAGCGTTGAAATGTTAGCCTAGCTGGGAATTTTCCAGTCTAATAAAAGCAGTTAGAATTGGTGATGGAGTTAGTGTATATAGTGGAGGAGGAATGTGTGGGAAAAAACTGCCTTACACAACTGAAGAGGTGCTCCTTAGGCTAACTGGATCCCCAAAGGAGGGCTAAGAACGTGGTCAGTTGCATATTCTAAGAGAGGGAAGGTGGTAGTCGCATGATCTATAACCCTTGTTTCCAAATATACCAGCTCCTACTTGATATAAAAGCACATTTTAAGCACTAAGTATTGACCACCAGAATGCACTGCTTTGAGAAAGTTCACAGTGAGAACATTTTTTAAGATTAATTGGCTTAGCAAGAGGATTTCTCAAAATTGATTGATGTAGCAAGAAAAAACAAAAAAACAAAACAGACATTGAGGACAGCGGGATGGTGTAGCATGACCAGGCTTTGTCTGGAGGAGCAAGACTTAGACATGGAAGAAATATTAAGACCCAAAATAGAAATCAGTTAGCGATTCATTGTGAAGGCAAGGAAAGCCCATCTTTTCAGCATCACAGTGAAAAAGCTTTCTGGAGGAGAGTTTTAAATAGCACATAATGTCGCTCTGCTATATTTTTATAGTGACCTTTAGCTCTTGCCAGGGAATATACAGTTTTGGCCTAAAGGGGACAAAAGGAAATAGATAAAAAGGGACATTGTAAAACATCCAAGATTTCTGGTGGGTGGTCTCACAACATGGAATTTTTAAATTTCTTGAGACCTTTTGGTATGAAATGTGGGAGGAATAAGTGGATAGAGTGTTGCGACCCTTGGGGGGAAAATGTCCTTATTAGAATTAGTTACCAAAAAATGTGCGTTTGAAGTCAGCAGCTCATTGTTGAGGCCCAGCGTTTGGAGACCTCATGTGCGTGATGGCAAACCCCAAGTGGGCTACTGTATAACCACTTCTGTGTCCTGCCCTCTTTAAGAAAAGGAAGTGCCCAACAAGCCCTTGCGTGTGCGTGTCCGGTCCTCAGATGACAGGCTGTCCGTTGCGTGGAAGGCACCCCGCCTGTCTGGAGCCAAGAGTCCACGCAGATCACGAGGCTTTCTCCTGGGCTACGGGGAGAGTGGCCGGAAGATGAACTATGTTCCACTGACGAGAGATGAGCGGACACACGAAATTAAAAAGCTAGGTGAGTTTCATATGCATTGGTATTCAGTGTTCCTCTGGTCTTTGGGATCATTTCAATATTTAGAAGCTCATTCATGAAGAGCATTGTGTTTTGGTTGGAACGTCCACTTGCCAGGTGTTAGAATGATTTGAATCTCTACGGTTTCCTCCATGCCCATCCTGGACGTCATCATTTAACCTTTTGTTAGTGGCAGCTCCAGGCTGCCTCCCTAGTGCCAGTCAGTGGCTTCCTGACCCAACAGCACAGATTCCTTGAGTCAGGCCATTTTCCTGGACTTAGGGCTAATCTTGTCATCTTGACTGTTTTTGTCATTTTGTTCTTTGAAGCTTTGTCTTAGAATTTTAGGACACTGGGCCTTGGGTCCCGTTAAGATGAAACATGGTAGCCGAGTGAAGCTGTAAGTTAGCCTGTAGTATTCAGAGTTCTCTAGAGAATGAATGGAATAGGCAGAAAGAATGGAATATATATAATGTTTATTAACTCACATAATCACAAGGTCCCACAATAGTCCGTCTGCAGACTGAGGAGCAAGGAGAGCCAGTCCAGGTTCCAAAACTGAAGAACGTGGAGTCTGATGTTTGAGGGCAGGAAGCATCCAGCACGGGAGAAAAATGTAGGCTGGGTGGCTAGGCCAGTGTCTCTCTTCGTATTTTTCTGCCTGCTTATATTCTAGCTGCACTGGCGGTTGATTAAATTGTTCCCACCCAGATTAAGGGTGGATCTGCCTTTCCCAGCCCACTGACTAAAATGTTAATCTTTTGGCAACACCCTCACAGACATACCCAGGATCAATGCTTTGTATCTTTTTTTTTTTTTTTTTCTGAGACAGAGCCTCACTCTGTCGCCCCGGCTGGATTGCTGTGGCATGACCTTGGCTCACTGCAACATCTGCCTCCCAGATTCAAGAGATTCTCCTGCCTCCACCTTCCGAGTAGCTGGGATTACAGGCATTGCCACCATACCCGGCCGATTTTTGTGTTTTTAGTAGAGGTGGGATTGACTTCACCATGTTAGCCAGGCTGGTCTCAAACTCCTGACCTCAGGTGAATCACCCACCTCAGCCTCCCAAAGTGCTGGGATTACAGGCATGAGCCGTCGCGCCTGGCCAATACTTTGTATCCTTTAATCCAATCAAGTTGACAGTATTAACCATCACTCAGGGCATCCTCCCTTTTTTCCAACCCCTTACTGGGTAAAGGAAGCACTGGCCAGGGAATGCTGATGGAAACCTTTGCTCGTTCTGGCCTGGAGGGAGTCCTGATCTTTGAAGGCCTTATTCATCCATAAGCCTGGGTAGCGGGCATAGGCCTGGCTCTGAGGGGCACACTTATCCCTCAGGCCTAATGCTTCTGCCTGCAGAGACAGTGCAAGAGCTGTCTCACCCCTGCTCCCTGGTTCTCTCACAGGTGAGTTGGAAGGAGCATGGGGTAAGCATGGCTGGGCCCCTTCTTCTCTGCCCCTCGTGGGGAAGGTGGGCCGTAGAGAGCGCACGCGGGACCCAGGGATGCTTGGGTGGAGAGCCTAATTCTGGGTTTCGTGTAAAGTACACTTGCCCCATATTCTCCAACTTGCTTCTTACCACTGTCATAAGGCTTTCAGCCCCCACAATTGGCTGTGCTGGCATTTCCTAATCAGTTCAGTACTCAAGCAAGGAAAAGGGCGTGATTTATTGGGCCCTCTGGAAGACTCCAGCAGGACCTGGGCTCTCTTTCCTTACCTGTAGGGGTGTCTTTCTATATCTGTAGAAGTGTCTTTCCTTCCCTGGAGGGATCTCTTCTACCTGGAGGGGCTTTTTCCTTTGCCTGGTGGGGTCTCTTCCCTTGCCTGTAGGCAGGCGTCTCAGCTTCCTGCCCCGTGGTGTGGAAGCAGGAGGTGGGCGTGGTGGGGCAGGTGTGTGTGCTCTGTGGGGATGCGCTGCTAAGACAGCAGCCTGGCACCCGTTGCTTGGGGTCTACTTAGCTTTAAAAGGTAAAATCCTCAGACAAGGAGAGGGATGGGCAGACAGTGAGATTGAGATGGGGAGACCAGACAAGGGAGTGGGAAAGGAGGAGAGAGTAGATTTGCCTGGGAGGAGAGCTGCGGAGTGCGCAGAGAGGGACAGGGGGCGCAGGAAACAGCCCGAGGCGGGAAGCCGCTGCGTGGAAACAGAGCACGGGCTTGGACAGAATCCTGGCGAGCCCACACTCCTCAGCGCTCTGAGAGCACCTTCCTCTGCAAAAGGCACAGCCATTCATTTCGGAGCAGTTCTGTGCTCTTCAGGACCTCTGAGGCCAGCTACCTGGGCACAGGTAAGCTGGCTCTACTTTGGTGATGCCAGCCAAATTCTACCCCGCATATCAGCAGTTTGGATCTGGTCTGGTGGAGACATTGGGTGGATGGTCACATCCAATCCCTTCCCCGATACAGCCTAGGACATCCCTGTTCTGTTTGCTGCTGTTCAGCCACCTGCTGAAGACTGTCTTGGAGGAGCTTTGCTGCCTGGTGGGTGTTCCAGGCACAGGCTGGCCGCATGGTGTTCTATGTCTTTGCGTGGTCTCCACATGGTGGCATAGGCAGCCGAGAGCCAGGCACAGCATCAAAGCCAGCCCCGAGTACGGACTCCAGACCTATTTAAGCAAAAAGGCGACCAGCTACCCTTCTGCTGCAGTGGCACGTGAAATGCCAAGGAAGTGCAGAAAGCAAAAGGAGAAATTCAGGCTGGACGTGCTTTGTCAAGTATGACTGTAGTATTAGCAGCAAGACCTTGAATTAGAGACTCAAGCTCCTGACGCTGCAGACTAATTTGTATGCCCTTGAGTCATTCCTTCCTGAGCCACCCGCACACAGGTAAGCGGGCTTTACTTTGGTGATGCAGGCCAATTTCTACCCTGCACGCAGATCAGCAGGAGAGTGTTGTCCCGGGTTTTGCATTTCCACTGCTGTAAGGGAGCTTTGTTTAAACGGACAGATTGCTTTGTTCTGAGCCTTTCTGGGACAGCGCACACCAAAGTGTCATTTAGCATAAACTAATTTTTCAACTGGTTGGATCTGTTTTTTTTTTAAATTTTATTTCTTCAGTAGTGAACCGCTGACTCACTTGAGCATAGTAGAAGGATGTTTTTTGCTGCCCGTACGTGAGGAAATATTGGACCTGAGGTAAGGGGTGGGCTCTGGTCCCCACTTGGGTGGACAGGGCAGCCCCTTGGGCTTCTGGTAAAATTTGTTAGCTCTTAAATTTTCATACATAAAAAGCACTGGACTTGCTACCGTGAATGATGTAAGAGGTGCCGCGAGGAGGAGGGCTGCTGGAAGCTTGCCCCATCGCAGGGAGAAGAGGGTGCAGGATGGGGATGAAGTGGATTCTCGGGGCAGTGTTGGAATGGAGCTGGTGTGTCATGGGAAGCCTGTCTACCCACTTATCCTGCATGGGATTTTCAAGCCGTTTATACCAGAGAGGCCGCGGAACCCGTGGTACTACACAGAGTGGTCACATGCTAAGGAACCCTGAGGGGTGGGCCTTGGGTCCTGCAATGGAGCACCGCTCCGTGAACCACTCTCTGTCACTGAATATGTCTAACTGGACATCTCATGCATCAGATGCGATCCCAGGAGGCACCACTGTTGAATCTACCATCAAAGGAGGCGCCACAGAGAAGGTGGCGTTTGGGCAAAGACTTGCAGCTGGAGGGGCCATGGAACTGTCAGCGGGAGAGGAGACAGCAGGACGGGAGCTGAGAGGGAGCAAGGGACTTCCTTTCGCAAGTCACCATGGAGCTGTAGAAATTGGGGAGCACATTTGTGCCATGTCCATTGCCCCATCCATCACACACTTGAGGTCAAGAAGTGGGCAAACGTGATGGCGCTGACTGGGGGTGCCTGCAGTCGCTGGGTTGATAATGTTCGGGCCATTTTGGGAATTTCATTTCCCCTCTTTTTCTTTTTTTGGTGGCCCAGTCTCACTCTGTTACTCAGGCTGGAGTGCAATAGCACGATCTCAACTCACTGCAACCTCCACCTTCCAGATTCAAGTGATTCTCCTGCCTCACCCTCCCTAGTAGCTAGGACTACAGTCACCTGCCACCATCCATGGCTAATTTTTGCATTTTTAATAGAGGCAGGGTTTTACCCTGTTGGCTGGCTGGTCTCGAACTCCTGACCTCAAATGATCCACCCACCTTGACCTCCCAAAGTGCTGGGCTTACAGGCATGAGCCAACTCATCCAGCCCGTTTCACCTGTTTATTCAGAAATCAGGGGCACAGAAAGAGGTGCGTCCTGACACCATTGCATGTTCATTATATTTCTATGAGGTAGAGACAGATTGCTGGGAGGCCAGGGCCTCATCAGCAGTTATTGAGAGCCAGGCTTCAGCACCCGCAGACCTGGGTGGGCCTGTTTCCTTGCCTGTGAAGCGAAGACAACAGTAGCTTCTGCGTGGGGCTTTGTTAAGACTCAGTGAAGAAGTGCATGTGAGAAGCTCAGCACAGGGAGAGCTGTCATTGTGTTTACTGCCGTGCCGAATACAACTTTTTCTTAATGATAATTTTGGGCCAAGTTTAGTTTCAAGGGTGCAGCAAATCAAGAAATCTGGACATAAAAAAAAATCTCTGAACTTTAAGAAATACATTGAAGGCATATACAAATTTCAGTTGTGGGAAATTATTCGTTTCTTGGTGGTTCTTGAGAAATGATGGGACACTGCTTTCCATGTTTAATTACTTACATGTGTCCCTGGACTGTGAGGTTGAATGGCCGTTTGTTTGTTTATTTCTGGAGAGATTCCATCATCAACAGCACTGAGTCCTGAACAGCTCTGAAGTGACCCCTCCGTATGGAAGCTTAGTCTGATGCTCTGTGCATCCCCGTGTTACAAACTATTCCCTCCCTTTTATAAAACATGCATTTTAAAATCTTCTAATGGAATAAGAGGTGAGTGCCGAGTGCCTCTGTATAAATAATTTACTCATTTATGGCTAGAGTGTCACCCACTTTCTCTGTGTGGAGAGCAGACTGTCAAATATTATCCTTTTCCCTTGACACCTCTGATCCTTCTACAGCAGCTCACACCAAAAACAGTCCCTCGGTGTGAGAATTTTGAACACAAGTCTTCTTTCATGTTTAGCACGACATGATTGTAGAGAAAAAAGGGCGATTTCCTGCTGCCATCTGAACGTGTGCAGTGCCTGAAGGAGACGTGTGCTCTTAGCTCCCCTTAGAATCTTAGTGTCACCTCTGTTAACTTACCTAGGTCCTACCTTATAATATAACTATCAGTACTGGAAATAGGCCAGATTGCCTCATTTTTATTCTTGAAATGGTTAAAGCTGCAACAGGAGCCTTGCTCAGGGAGCGTGGAGTGAGGCATTGGTAGTTTTGGATTCAGGGTAGATTATGAGTAAGTGTGTGACCCTGGGCAAGTCACTCAATTGTTAGGGCTTTATGTCCTTGTATGTAAGATAAGAAGGTCAAATAGAAAAATAAAAAAGGTTTCACCTTGGTCTCAGGCTTAATGATTACATAGTAATTGAGAGGAGAAATTTTGTTCCATCATTGCATTTTTTTCCTCCAAATACAATGGTCCCTGGTGTACACTGGGATCGGTTCCAGCATTCCCTGGGCATATCCAAATCTGTGCAGACTCGAGATCCTGCAGAATCCACATATAGCAAAGGCTGGCCCTCCCTATGTGTGAGTTTAGCGTCTCTGGAATACAATCCTATCTGCATCTGGTTGAAAAAAATCCACGTATAACATGGATCTGCACAGTTCAAACCTGTGTTGTTCACGGACCAACTGTTCAGTTTTCAAGTTCAGGTTAAGTTGCAGGCTAGTGGGACTCTCGGAGGGTGGGGCAAGAACTGACTGAAAGAACCATCCAGCAACAAGGGGTACATTTGGAGTCTTCCATTTGTTGTTAGCAAATCTTCAGAGACTCTGTTTTGAGGATTTTAGTTTTGAAGGACACAGCATTCCACAGGGAAGCAAAGACCTGGGCTACTAATGCCGCACCATTGGCTATTCTTTCTTTTCTTCTTTCTTTCTGATGACAGATGAAACCAGAGTCACCCTCTCATCTCAATTTTGGAAGTAGAAAGAAATTGGGCAAATTATGTGGGTAAACATGTTATTCTTTTCTTTTTTAAAGCATGTATCTCTTTTTGATGAGTTTGTTTAATTTTTGTTTATCTCTTTTTGACGTTGATGAGATAGAAACCCATTTTCCAGGAAGTACTGGTAAAAATCAGTTGCCCATTTTCTAACATAATAGTGTTCTTTTTGAGTTTAATTCCTGCAGTCCTTGAGCTCACCCTTCATTGTCCTCAAGAAGAGGGAATGCCCCCAGAAAGATGAAATGGGAAAAAGGAAGGGGAGGAGGGATGCAGACACCTGCCTCTACCCCCAGGGGTGTGTGTTCCTGAGAAATCCAAGCCAGAATCTCATCCCTCACTCCCTGGTCCACAGCCTCGGAGTCCGTGTATGTGGTCTCCCTGCAGTCCATGAACTCCCAGGGCCGGAGCCAACCAGTCTACAGAGCTGCCCTAACAAAGCGGAAGATTTCAGGTATGTTTCTAAGGATGCATTTGGTCAAAGCATAGTCTGGTGTGAATGCAATGCTGTTTTCAAATGATGAATCACATAAATTCTATTGAGGCTAAAAGAAATAACAGGACAGATGTGGTCACATTTTGGGTGTAAACCTGCTGCTTGCTTTTTTTTTTTTTTTTTTTTTTTGAGATGGAATTTCACTTTCGTTGCCCAGGCTGGAGTGTGCAATGGTGCTGCAATCTTGGCTCACCACAACCTCTGCCTCCCAGGTTCAAGCGATTCTCTTGCCTCAGTCTCCCGAATAGCTGAGATTATAGGCATGCGTCACCACACCCGGCTAATTTTTTGTATTTTTAGTAGAGACGGGGTTTCTCCATGTTGGTCAAACCGGTCTCGAACTCCTGACCTCTGGTGATCTGCTTGCCTTAGACTCCCAGAGTGCTGGGATTACAGGCGTGAGCCACTGTGCCCGGCCTAGCATACTGCTTTTATATATAAAGGCTAGAGTGCTCTTGTGATGTAATATATCTCATTGTATATTTCGAGCCACTTCACTGTGCAGTAGATTTGCCACGATAGGAGCAGCCAAGAGTTCATTCCAGTAGAGGTGCCGTCTGATCCAAGTATAAATTGCCCTGGGTGATGCACTGAACGAAGTGAGAGAGAAGGAAGAGCAGGTGGGAGGTGGTGCATGCAAGATAAACACACAAATGTTATTTCAGCTATATTTGCATTAAAACGGTATTGGGAATCCTGAGAAAAAGCATCACAGTGGTTTGCTGATAGCCTGATCATTGTCCACATAGTCACGTTTTCCCACGTCCCTTCACAGACATTATCTGTGTCCCTGATACATTAACGAATGACAGGTACCTTTTCTGGACCACCTATCTTAATTTAAAGAGGCAATCTACAACATAATTATTTTCATGAATTCACAACATAAAATGAAATTTATACTTTTTTACCTTGTATGAAGCTCCACAAATACAATGTTTCACTCTTCATATTGATGAATTGCTGCCATAGGATAAGTCCCTGTATCACTTTTCTAGCAGGCTAAATATTTTCACCTTCCCCTTCTGGTGATAAAACCCACATCTTTTTGAAACATGGTCCCTGAAAAGTGAAAAGAAAAAATAAAACAAAAAACTAACATAAACAAAAAACCCAAGAGACTATAGAAGAATATTAAAGATCTCTTCTGAGTCTTTTGAACGAAGAGTATAAGCTTTGTGACTGTGATATGTTCTATTGATGACAAAGAGAAACCTCTCTAAGAAATTGGCAAACTGACTTCTAGTTCATATCTGAATGTGTTTTAATCTGTCTTGGACTCATACATTCTGAACTGTGAGGACATCAAACCCAATGTGAACCTTGTGGTTGCTTGAACCAGAGTTTTCCTTTCATGCCATGATCATTAAGGAAATGTGAGCTGACCTTTCCTTCTCCTAAACTTTTGCTTCCCATAAAAATGTTGTTATTTTCCAGAAACTTCCAGTGTACATTGAGAAAACACTGAGTTACTTGGACCATCTTTTATCTGGGCAAAGCATCCCCTTTGTACTGTTTGCTATGTCGATTGGGTTGGGCAGCTTTTAAAGTGAAATGCTCATTTTTCAGCCTGTATTTAAGAAAAGCAAGATGAAGATTTTTATTTTTCTTACACTGACCAATCAAATAATTGCTTACCTTTCTATCAATTTCATTTTGTCTACATTACACACAAGCAATCTAAAAATTATGCAGGGTGAATAATGGCCTGTCAAGGTCTGAGGAGCTCAGAGCAGAGCCCATTGTGAGAGAAAGCCTTTCTATGGGGCCCATTGTCATTTCAGAAGAGGATGAATTGGATGTTCCTGATGACATCAGTGTCCGGGTCATGTCATCCCAGTCTGTGCTTGTGTCCTGGGTGGATCCTGTTCTGGAAAAACAGAAGAAAGTTGTTGCATCAAGGTGCTTTTGCTTATTTATTTGTCTTTATGTATGAGAGATGGGATTTTTCTGGCCCTGAAAAGACATGTATTTCATGATTTTATTTTCTGACTGACATGAATTGGCCTCTTGTAGCTGAGTAGTAAATATTCTGTGACAACCTAGTTGATCCTAAGTGTGGTCACACATTTCCCGCAAATCAGATTTGACCAGGGCCTTGTGTGTAGTACACACAGCAGGAGCTCACATCTCACATGCTCAGAGATTATCCTGTGTCTGGAAATTTCCTAGATTCCATTTCTTTCTTTGCCCCATTTGTGTTTTGCTTTCTCTCATTGACATTCTGTTCATACACAGGGCCCAGTCTCACCATCCCTCCTGTTATCCAGGAAGAGTCACTGTAAGATGGACTTTATGTAGAGTGTGGACAATTGTCTAATGCCTTACACTTAGTAGTTCCTCATTAGGCTTTGCTGAACACTGACTTGCTTCATATCTGGCTCATTTTATACATAACTAAATGCACCTTATTTTCTCTTAAGCCATGATGTTATGCTGTTCTGGATTTTATATCCATTTGCAACAGCAATAAAAGACAAACCAATCATAAGGTTAAAATATTTTATGTTAAAAGGCCACTAGTGAACACCATTTCTTGTTAGTGGTAGATTAATATAGCTATCCAAATTTTACCTGTTCAATGACTAAATACATTACATAACTAAGAGAAAGCCACAGATGTGGTGGCCTGGTTATTATGTATTAATTTTTCAATGTCTCTGCAACCAGGAAAGGGGAATATAGTTTAAAATGGATGGCATATAATGGTGACATTATATACATCCATATATAAAAATGATTATTCATGTTAGATATATAGTTTTCTTTACTGTCTGCTAGTAAAAATGATATCTGCCTTTTTTGAAAGACCTCAGAAGATTCATGGCAATTCTCTCCCTCGCCATATGGTCCTCTTCAACACAAAGTGTTCCTTTTACCATTGGACTTTGATTTCCAACATCTTGCTGAAACCACAGAAGCCTTGAATTTTCTTAGCAGAACTGTTGTGTTAATTGGTGTGCCATGTATTCAACTGAAGTCTTCTGACAAAAAAGCACATTTTTAATGCATCAAAGGCTTTCTACTGCAAAAAGTCCACAAGACGATTTCTTTGAAAGAGAATCTAATAAATGGCGTTTGCAGCTCTTAGTGTGTTGAGGGTGTCTGCTGTCTGAGGTTGCTAGGCTGTCCACAGTTCCAGAGCAGCCTCCTCCATCCTGCTCTGTTTCCCATTTTTGCTCCTTTTCATGGTAATAAGTCTACTCAAAACCACGTGTTCCATTCCACCTGAGCCTATGGAAAACATGCCTGATTTGGCATGAAATGAGTCTTTTTTGTCTTTCTTTTCTGGAGAGCTGAGGTACCCTGGGCCAGTTCTGGTCCCTACTGGTGCCTTGAGTAGACACAAATACAGACCCACAGACACACGCGCACACACAGACACACACACACACAAACACACACCCCTGATAAGGTAGTTGCCTCATGAAAACTGTCTCCCTTCTCTCCCTTCCCTTTATAATCTCTGCTTGCTCTTTTGAGCAGTAAGAGTTTTTGGTCTTAAAAAGACACTAAGCTCTGTTTTTTTCTCCTACTTTAGGCAACTTTGCTTGGAACTTAAGCAGATTCTCTGAGCCAATAACAGTCAAAAGTTTATTTTTCTCCTCTTTGATTTTACTATGTACCTCCCAAAGTCATCACTTACGAGGAAGGAAAAACAGCAAGACATCTAGTGTTGAGATGCAGAGAATTTGGATAGATCGTTGTGTTGTGTTTGCTTATAGACAGTACACCGTGCGCTATCGAGAGAAGGGAGAACTGGCCAGGTGGGATTACAAGCAGATCACTAACAGGCGGGTGCTGATTGAGAACCTGATTCCAGACACCGTGTATGAATTTGCAGTCCGTATTTCACAGGGTGAAAGAGATGGCAAATGGAGTACATCAGTCTTCCAAAGAACACCAGAATCAGGTCTGTATTTGAAATGGCCTTTGAATTTTCAGTTTGGAAATTACACCCAAAATAAGATTTAAAGACAATGTAAGATGCCAATAGTGACAAAAGCCAGCATGGATATTTTGAGTCACGTTAAGCCTAGATTTTGGCAGAGTGTCTTGCATAAACGCAAAGAAGTTAAGGGACCATCTGTTGGTCTTTTCCACTAGCATGTTATTCACGTTGTTTTGATGTGTGGAGCGCACTGCATCCCAGTGTGTAGTATGCATCAGTCCCCACCCTATGCGTGGATGCCCCTGGGTAATGCATGGCTCTCGTATGTAGGAGAGCCTCTCCTTTCCTGAGGCTGAGATGGCATTCTGGGAAAAATTTTGGTCTGTATCTAAGGCTACCATTCTTTCCCTTAAACTATGTCTTCCAAAGTTTTGCTAAGAAGAAGTTGGAACTGGATCTTAATCTTCCTTGTATATTTCAACATTAGGCAATGAAAGAAACTCTGAATTACTAAGAGCATTTCCCTAGATATGTCTCAACTCACTAAATGGATTGGTTGCCGTGACATAAATCACTATATCACACAAAGAACCAGTGCAGGATTTTCTCTCACGTATAATAAAAATTAACGCAGTAGCTTTTCAATAATAAAAATGTGCACCTAGAGACCATGTGCTGTTTACATCTAGAACGTCCACTAAGGCATTTAAAAACGTTTCATTCCTTGTTATTTTGCAGCTCCTACCACAGCTCCTGAAAACTTGAACGTCTGGCCAGTCAATGGCAAACCTACAGTTGTCACTGCATCTTGGGATGCGCTACCAGAGACTGAGGGGAAAGTCAAAGGTAGGAATCTCATTCCCTAAACTGTAAGATGCATTGATTCTGATAAACATGGCTTCTGTTTATGGCTTTGTTGACTGATAAAGAAATAGGGAAGCAACATACATCCAAGAGGTGCTCACCCAAGGGACAAGAATATTTCATGCAAGATTTTCATTGCCCAAGATCCAAGCAGTCAAGAATGTGATTATTATTTTCAGCCTCCTATAAAGTATGAAGGCTTTTTGCTGTTGCTGTTGGGAAGTATGTTTTTCATTGCATGGGTGTGACAGCATAACCTTTCCCTATCTGAACGGCACCCTGGTTTTCATGCTGTGGGTCTTTTCATTGTGCTAGGATGATCACAAGAGCAGCAGGAATCCTGCAGAACCATCAATATCTTTAATGGGACCATAAATACATTTAATGGGTTTGAAAAACACAAGTAATAATTGCTGGAAAATGAATTTCCCTATTTGTCACCAATTTGTTTGTTTATGTACTTACTGATGTCAAGGAAAACCTAACACCAAAAAAGCAAAAGAAACTAGATATTTTAAATAATAAAGATAGAGTACAATATTTACAATATTAAATTTAAATTTAATCTATTAAATTTTAAAATAGTCTGTTGAGAATACTAAATAAACACAAAATCTTTTATTTTTAATGTAAAAGCATTTAAGAATCTTTCAGAATCTGTTTGGAGACATTTTAAACAGCCATGCTGAAGTTTCTTCTGGCACTACCTATGCAGATGTACTGTAAGGGCAGGAAGGAATGGATGTTTTATTCAAGAAAGAAATCATTTTTATTGTCATTAGATTTGAGGGGCAACTGTAAGTCTAATATGTCCAGAATCTATAAAATGTGTGTGTAAGCTTAAAGAAATCCAGAGAATTACTACTAATCTCCTTTGAGAATTTCTTTTTTTTTTTTTTTTGAGACGGAGTTTCGCTCTCGTTACCCAGGCTGGAGTGCAATGGCGCGATCTTGGCTCATCGCAACCTCCGCCTCCTGGGTTCAGGCAATTCTCCTGCCTCAGCCTCCTGAGTAGCTGGGATTACAGGCACGCGCCACCGTGCCCAGCTAATTTTTTGTATTTTTAGTAGAGACGGGGTTTCACCGTGTTGACCAGGATGGTCTCGATCTCTTGACCTCGTGATCAACCCACCTCGGCCTCCCAAAGTGCTGGGATTACAGGTGTGAGCCACCGCGCCCGGCCTGAGAACTTCTTAATTGAAAAGACTGAGTGGTTCTCTCTTTTTTTTTTTTTTTTGGAGACGGAGTCTTGCTCTGTCGCCATGCTGGAGGGCAGGGTCGTGATCTCCGCTCACTGCAACCTCCTCCTCCCAGGTTCAAGCAATTCTCCTGCCTCAGCTTCAGCCTCCTGAGTAGCTGGGACTACAGGTGTGCACCCCCACGCCAAGCTAATTTTTGTATTTCTTTTAGTAGAAATGGGGTTCCATCATGTTGGCCAGGATCTCCATCTCTTGACCTCGTGGTCCACCCGCCTCGGCTTCCCAATGTGTTGGGATTACAGGTGTGTGCCACCGCACTCAGCCCATGGTTCTCTTTTATATTCATCCAAAAGCTATCTTTGCTGCCATCTAGGATGTCTTTTGTGGAATAATAGAAGTTAAGGAAGGTAGATGTGGAACGGTATTTTCTATACTTAATGTTTTTTCGCTTTTTTTTTTTTTTAAGAATAGATCGTACTATTTTTCTTTCTCTCTCTCGCTCTCTCTCTCTTTTTTTTTTTTTGCCATTGGAATAAATCCACAACAAGTGAAGAGAAAAATATTAATTTGGTCCCTTGGGGTGTTCAATCTTTTGGCTTCCCTGGGCCACATTGGAAGAAGAATTGTCTTGAGCCCGTACAAAAAAATACACTGACATTTTAACGATAGCTGATGAGCTTTTAAAAAAAAGGTCCATGCATAAATCTCATAATATTTTAAGGAAGTTTATGAATCTGTTTTGGGCTGGATTCAAAGCATGCAGCCCACGGGCCACGGGTCAAACAAGCTTGCTTTAAATCATTCTTTTTACAGCAATTTGAACTTTAACTCCCTCCGTATTAAGTATTGTGCTGCTGAGAGGACCTCTGAAAATTGAATAAAGACTTTTTCTGGCTACTTTTTGTTAGTTAAAAAATAAAAAGCTAATTATTGCACCTCTTGTGACTTTATTACCATGCTACTTATGTACCTTTCCTCTCTCCTCATCTTAGTTTATATTTACAGTTCCTTGGTGACAGAAGTTCCTGATGGTCAATTAAATATTGGCAGAAATAATAACAGCTACTGAGTTTACGTCCAAAAGAACTCATGTATCTTAATCCTGCTTAGTTTTCAGAAGGGTGTAGTAGTGAGATTAAAATTAATAATTGCATCAGGGCATTCTCTATGTACGAGAAATACAAAACATAATCGAGAATATACTTCGACATAGCTAAATTTCTTCTCCAGATGGATTTAATTTATTTTAAAATTTGAATCACAACATTTTGTAGACAATGGGCTTTCTTAATTCTTACTTTTGACCACCACAAATGACAAGTTTGTTGATTTTCAATGAGAAATGAATGCTGTGTTTTTTCCAGACAAATGCTGCAAAAGCATTTTTGGTTAAAAGATTTTTTTTTTTTTTAATGAATGTACTTTTTAAAGATTGGAGCTAAGGGAAAAGAAAAGATCATCCATGCTCCTGATAATTTTTGACTTTTCTGTGATTCTAGCTCCTATTCTTTTTCTTTTTTCTTTTCTTTTCTTTTTTCTTTCTTTCTCTCTCTCTTTCTCTCTCTCTCCCCCTCCCTCCCTTCCTCCCTCCCTCTCTCTCTCTCTCTTTCTCTCTTTCTTTCTTGGTTGAGACAGAGTCTCACTCTGTCGTCCAGGCTGGAGTTCAGTGGTGCGATCTCGGCTCACTGCAACCTCCGCCTCCCGGGTTCAGGTGATTCTCCTGCCTCAGCCTCTCGAGTAGCTGGTACCACAGGCACACACCACAATGACCGACTACTTTTTGTATTTTTAGTAGAGACTGGGGTTTCACCTTGTTGGCCAGGCTGGACTTGAATTCCTGACCTCAAGTCATCTGCCTGCCTCAGCCTTCCAAAGCGGTGGGATTACAGGTGCAGGCAACTGCGCAGAGCCCTTACTCACATTAATTTGATGTTTTGTAAATCTTGAGTTCATTGAGAGGAAAATAGGCATGACAGTTTTTAGTTGAAGATGAAAATTAATTTTTAAAATATGATTCCCTTATGTGATAATATTTTCATGTGAGCATAGACATATTTTAGTTCCTTGGACTGAATTTGCTATGGTTTTCCAAATTCAGGGTTATTATATGATTATAGATAGAGCCAATTAAAGATGGAAACATTCAATATCACATAAATCTTTTACTTAGCAACTTTTCTTCACAGCTCTAAAACACGGTGAAATATCTTTATCAGCTTATATTGACTAAGAGCTTTTATAATTCCTACAAAAATAAAATTATATTTCAAATATGGATTTTTTCTGGCTAAATATGCTAATAAAAATAACCCAGGTTAATAAAGTGAAACTCTTGAAGGTGTCAGAAGCCATTCAGGATCAATTCCTAGTGGTTGTTCCTTCTTTTCCCTTAGTTTCTTCTATCAGGATATATTCCATCGTAACAAATTCGTAAATAAATACAAGTTTAGAAACCCAACAGTGTATAGATTTGGGGGAAATTGTATGAAGACTAGCCTCCTGCCTTTCATATGTTTAATTTGCTTAAAATAGCCAAGTGTCAGCTAATTAAATATACAGCCCTGTCTGGGTGCCTGAATGAATGTGAGTTTACCTTCTGCTGTGTTTTCATGCTCCAGCTGGTGACTTGGCGTGCATTGCTGGTGTATTAATTTTAGTAATGCACGTTCTAATTCATCCTGCCCACAGTCTGTCTGCTGGACACAGGACTGTTTTCAGTTTCCTCCTTCCAACCATCTGCCAAATCATTTCAGAATATATTCTTTCATATGCCCCGGCTCTCAAACCATTTGGAGCAAAGTCTCTCACCTATCCTGGAGACACGACTTCTGCCCTGGTGGATGGCCTGCAGCCTGGGGAGCGCTATCTTTTCAAAATCCGGGCCGCAAACAGGAGAGGCCTGGGACCTCACTCCAAAGCCTTCATTGTCGCTCTGCCAGCAAGTAAGCACCGTGTGTCTGTGGCTGTCTTCTCTCCCTCTCCATTCCTGCTGTTTGTTTTGTGTTCCTTTGAATCATGCTCTTGGGTTTGGAACTGCTCAACAGATGATTTTTCCAGGCTAAGCTGCATATTGATTTTTAAAATATTTTTGTGTTCTCTTTAGAAATTAGTCTTCTCAAAGACTAAAATGTTATTGATTATTGATAACATTAATCATTATTGCAGTATTATTAGTGTATTAATTATAGGATTAATGTGATGTCACTATTTAATTTTGGGCTTGTGGTGTGAGGGAAAGAACATTTTTACAAATGGTAATGTGACATTTCATTATTAGTGCTCTTCAATTTCCATATAGGTCTAAAAATTTTTAGTTTGCAAACCAGAGAGGACAGGAGATGGGTGAAGGTTAAAAAAATTACCCACTGGGTACAATATTCACTGATTGGGTGATGGGTTCACTAGCAGCCCAAGCTTCACCACGATGCAATACATTTACATAATAAACCTGCACGTGCAATCCCTGAATCTAAATTTTTTTTTAAAAAGTAAAATTTTAGTTTGTATTCCATTATTGAGAAATGCAGCAGTATTCAGAAGGATTTCAGTTGTCCAGCTTACCTGATCAGTATCAAAACCCAACAAGTTAATCAGGATGCACAGCTGGAGAGAGTGCTTCTGGACCGTGTTTTCTTTTCTACTTCCTCACATTTATGCTGGATATTGGCAGCTTTTCCTTCATTTTGTGCTGTGGAGACCCATGGTATACTGCAATATTAGACAATTTTGTCATGGAAAAATCTGTGACATGGACGACATTTGTCCCCTCTGGCTCTCTCACTGCAATACAGATTCCTCTCGCCTCACAGAATCTCTTCCCTCAGTCAGTCTGTGCTGAAGACAGGGTGATTACAGTACATTTACTATGATTGCTTATCTCAGGAGTCTTTTTAGTTTAAGCCTTATTTTAGAATTAAAAATGTGTCCATTATTAATGGAATTTTAAACAAGAAGAAGGAGGAAGCAGGCAAGGACATGTTATGGGAAGAGGGAACTTTTTGTCATGTCTTAAAAATTACAGATGGGTTGCTCCTCACACGTTCCCTTGTCACTTTGAGTATAGATTATCAGCAATTTCCACCAGGTGTATTCATATTTCTTGCCTATTAAGGACAGCTATTTTATAATGTATTTGTAATACACTGACAATCAGTTATATTAAGAAAATCCTATATAAGATTTTGCATTTATAAAATAAATGAGTTACTTCAAAGTACTCTTTTCAGAAATTCTTCAAATAAGATGTGGCATAACCTAGTTGAATAGAGATTCAATTCAGGTATATTTTCTAGGACTGTATTGGTTACTTAAAGCAAAATATAAGTTTTAAAAAGAATGCTTTCATTGAGAAAATAAGTTTCCAGTGTTCTAAGGAATTAGAAGTTATTCATTATGACTACTGATTTGAAATGCCTCCATACACTGTCTTAAATACCTTGTATCACCTCCGCCTTGGCTTTTGAGTTTTTTCTTTGACAGGCAGCTCTTTAAAATCTGTTGCAGCCAGTAAGGCGGATGTTCAGCAGAACACGGAGGACAATGGGAAGCCGGAAAAACCCGAGCGTTCTTCACCTTCACCCAGACCTCCTGCTTCTCCAGGGAGAAATGCCAAGGACCTTCTCCTTGACTTGAAGAACAAAATCTTGGCCAACGGTGGGGCGCCCCGAAAACCCCAGCTTCGCGCTAAAAAGGCAGAGGAGCTGGATCTTCAGTCGAGAGAACTCACCGGGAAGGAGGAGCTGGGTTCCCAGGAGGACTCGCCCACGTCGCCTTCGGACACCCAAGACCAGAAACGGCCCCTGAGACCGCCAAGTAGACACGGTCACTCGGTGGTTGCTGCAGGCAGGACTGCGGTGAGGGCCCGGATGCCAGCCCTGCCCCGAAGGGAAGGCGTCGATAAGCCTAGCTTTTTCCCAGACACCCACCCCCGCCCAGGGACCGCCCCTGCCGCTTCGGCCTCTCCTGCCCACCACGCGGCCACCCAGGACACCTCCCACCGTCCTTCCCTGCCTGCCCGCTTTAATGACAACGACTCAGTGGACTCAGGCGAGGACGAGCTCGCTGTGGGCTCCCTCCACCCCAAAGGTGCCTCTGTCCAGCCTCGGCCAGCTCTGTCCCCCAGCCGCCTGTACCCCTCCAGCGTTCTGCGCGACAGAAGCTCCGTGTACCCCGGCGCAAAGCCAGCCTCGCCGGTGCGAAGGACCCCCCATTCAGGGGCCGCAGAGGAAGATTCCAGTGCTTCGGCCCCACCCTCAAGACTTTCTCCACCCCATGGGGGATCATCCCGGCTGCTGCCCACCCAGCCACACCTGGGCCCTCCGCTCTCCAGGGGCGGGAAGGATGGCAAGGACACCCCAGCCACCAACTCCAATTCGCCATCGCGGTCCGCCACGTCCTCCTCGGCCTCTTCTCGTCTCTCCTCCAGGAAGCAGATGTCTGAGGGAGCGGAGGCTTCTGATGGCGAAGGCGACGGTGACAGCGACACGGAAGACAGCGGGAGGCAGGCGGAGGCCACGGCCCAGACGCTGCGGACCCGGCCTGCCTCTGGACACTTCCATTTGCTCAGACACAAGCCCTTTGCTGCCAACGGGAGGGCTCCAAGCAGGTTCGGCATTGGGCGGGGACCTCGGCTGCAGCCCTCCAGCTCCCCACAGTCCACTGTGCCCTCCCGAGCCCACTCCAGGGTTCACTCTCACCCCGCTTCCCACCCTAGGCTTGGTTCAGGTATCCATGGAGACGAGGAGGATGAGAAGCCGCTTCCTGCCACCATTGTCAACGACCACGTGCCTTCCTCCTCCAGGCAGCCCATCTCCCGTGGCTGGGAGGCCCTAAGGAGGAGCCCTCAGAGAGGAGCCAGCCTGCATCGGAAGGAGCCCATCCCAGAGAACCCCAAATCCACAGAGGCAGATGCGCATCCTCAGGGCAAATACTCCACCTTGTCCTCCAAGGCTCAAGACGTTCAACAGAGCACAGACGCGGACATGGAGGGACATTCTCCCAAAGGGCAGCCGGGGTCCACAGGCCGCCACGCATCCCCTGCTCGTCCGCCCGCAGCACGGCCACAGCACCACCCCGGGCCCAGTGTTCCCAGAAGGACGACGCCCGGCCGGGCCCCAGAACAGCAGACCCCTCCTCCTGTCTCCACGTCCCGGAACCAGCCGGGCCCCCAGAGCAGAGACACCGGGCGGTCACCTTCGCAGCCCAGGCTCGCACAGGCCCAGGCCGGGCGGCCCCTCCCCACGTCACAGGGCCGTTTCCACTCCTCCTCGGACCCTTACACGGCGAGCTCCCGAGGGGTGCTCCCCTCGGCCCTCCAGAACCAGGATAAGGATAGCCGGAGCAGCTATGACGACGACAGCACAGAAGTCGAGGCCCAGGATGTGCGGGCCCCAGCGCACGCCGCGCGCGCCAAGGACGCAGTCGCGTCCCTTCCCAAGCAGCAGATGGAGTCTTCGATGGGCGCAAGTGCCGGTGGCGACGACAGGTCCCAGCGCGGACATGCGAGCTCCCCCGCTAGGCCCAGCCGGCCCAGCGGCCCCCAGTTTCGTGCCCGGGTCCCCGGCAGGGCATCGCCCTACGCGGGGCATAAGGAGGAGGGCGCGATCCAGGCCACACCCGGGAAGTCGGAGCCTCCTTCCAAGCGGCCCCTGTCCTCCAAATCCCAGCAGTCGGTCTCAGCCGAGGAGGAGGAGGAGGAGGAGGACGCGGGGATTTTTAAAGGCGGGAAGGAAGACCTTCTGTCTTCCTCTGTGCGGAAGTGGCCCTCTTCCTCCACTCCCAGGGGCGACAAATACACGGATGGGAGCTTCGCTAAGGACGAGAGGGAGCCTGCCATCGCGCTTGCCCCTCGCGGAGGGAGCCTGGCTCCTGCGAAGCGACCTCTCCCCCCACCTCCAGGCAGCTCCCCCCGGGCCTCCCACCTCCCTTCCCGACCGCCGCCTCGCAGCGCTGCCACCGCAAGCCCGGTCTCAGGCACCCACCCCTGGCCGCGGTACACCACGCGCTCCCCGCCCAGCCACTCCTCCACCACCCCGATGCTGTCCCTGCGCCAGCGGATGATGCACGCCAGATTCCGAAACCCTCTCTCTCGCCAGCCTGCCAGACCCTCTTACAGACAAGGTAGCTTATTTTTTCAAACGGTCTTTAAGATGCTCAGTAGTGTTCATGGCAATGCCGGAGAGGTTTTTATTCTGTTTTATTTAGCACCTACTATGTCCAAGCACCTTTAAGAACTTTGCACATGTGACAGAATTTCATCCTCTGAACTGTCTCTAGAGTTTGCATTGTTACCCCTGTTTTCCAGATGGAAGCTGGGGCTCAGGATCTGAGGGGTTTGCCCTAAGGCAGACAGCTAGGCAGTGGCAGAGCTGCCATTCCAATCCCAAACGGCCTAATTTCACAGCCATGACTAACCCATACTCCCTGTAATTCCATAGTCATTTCACTGTCACTTTGCCTCTTTAAATTTGTTGGTATACACTCTTAACCTGTGAAAATGTGTCACAACCATGATGCCAAACTCAGGTTCTTCTTCGTTGTTCAGGTGCCCACGTGTGTTTAAGGGATCCGTAGCAGCTGGTTAGATACATATGTAGGCTTACCTTGTTCTTGTTTTCATCTTCTGCATGCAAACCTCTCAACCAAACAAACCCCAAAACAAACTCAGTATCTCGGGTATGAAGTGCTCAGTGCAATTAGTGAATGTTGTCTAAAACCTCCAGAAAATGCACGTTAAAAATCATTGTCACAAAGAATAGTCACAGGCAGAGGTGTGCCTTGTGTGTCTGTAACAGAGGATTGAAGGAAGTCAGCTATGAACTGGAATCTATGTCCAGGGCAGGGTCTGAGGTATTTACCATCAATTTGCATTCAGTTCAGTGGTGCTTTAAACTCTCCTTGTGTGTAATTGGGATGTTGTAGAACACTCTTGAATGAATGTATTTTTTTCTTTTTTTTTGCTAATCTGTACAATGCATTGTACAATGTAACGACATAGAATAATGCCCCATATCAAAGTCAGTTTTCCACTAAGATTGACTATTTTAAGCCAACCTAACACCCTGATAATAGATGTAAAACTCAGCTTTCCCTTGTACATAGCAGGAACTCAATAAATATTTAATAAATAAATGAAGGAATGAGAGAAATAAGTGTCTGACCTGCAAGTAGTGGCCAGAAATCCCAAGCTCTTGAGTCAAGGCTGGACCAGAACAGGCTGGAGCTGATGAGAAACGTTTCCATGTGAGGCAGAGACAGACAGAAACGACAATGCAAGGGTGCTGTGATATCTTCTTACTGTCTCAGCAAATATTTCCCAAGCAGCCCCACAACGTTCAGCAAGCTTTAAGACAGCATCGTGCATTTATACTTGGCGATTGATGACTGGGACATGAGTCAGCTGGAAAAAGTTTTGTTCAATTTAACATGCCGAGAAAAGTGGGGCAGCATGTAGTACATTTTAGACATAATTTTCTCTATCCTTCCAACCTTTCCTTTCTCCACCTTCCACATGGCTAAAATAAAGCTACAGCTACTGAGGTCTTAAGTTTTCTACAGCAAATTGACTTACGCTGGATACACTCATTCCTGCAGTATTGTCAGAAAGCTGTGACTTTACTGTATTAACAGACATTCATATTTGTTATGGAGAAGTCATAATTTAAGACTGTCATTATCTAATATATTGGAGCTATTGGTTTAAAATTCTGTTTAGAGCTTCTGTTTGAAATGATGTGTTACTACTTATAGTTTGGTATGAAGCCAACTTCCCGGAAATGCTAAATTTACCAGGCTCTGTTATTTTTATTTTTGGTACTGTGTAGGTTATAATGGCAGACCAAATGTAGAAGGGAAAGTCCTTCCTGGTAGTAATGGAAAACCGAATGGACAGAGAATTATCAATGGCCCTCAAGGAACAAAGTGGGTAGGGTAAACTTCTTTACACATACCGGTTGTTTTCATGCTGTTGAGAAGAGAATAATGGTGACATTGTGTAACGATAAATGAAGTGGTCTTTTTTGTTCTTTTTTCTCTAGTTTTAACTATTCATATATACTTGTATAGAGTTTCTTTCATACTCAGTTTTCTCAGTTTTCTTTGGTTCTCTTGGTAACTAGCTTGTTTTCTTCTCATAGCCAAGATAAGGCATGGGCCTTAGTTTTTCATTTCTCTTGACTGGTTAGGAAGGTCAAATGAATGCATGGCTCAACCATAGCAATTATAGACCCAATGGATGGCCTCTCAAATGAACTTATATTTTCCCTGACGTGGTATTTTCATTTTATTTTTAGGTTTTGTGTATTGTTTGATTAAACATTACACATATTTTCTGTAAGTTGTCTCAAATCCTTTCTAAAAGGACCCAGGGTAAAAACAAACAAATAAATAAACAAAAACCCTGAGTGATGTTGGCCGTTTTTATTAGATTGCCTTTTGAATCTTCCAATAATTGTCGTTGGACTGAAACTATGTATTAGTACTTTATGTATGTCTAAGCTAAAAGCTTTAACTGCTTGGGGTTAAGATAAATGTTTAGGAAGTTTTGGTGGGTTGAGGGTAATAGAACACTTTGCAATATTCAGAAATTTAAAATACTTTCTCTAAGAATCAAAAAAATTATTTATACTGTAATTCTCAGTCAAAACTTCCCATTTATAATGATAAGTTTTAGAGAAACGTACTAAAAGACTATGACGTTTTCAGTCATGGGTGATTTAAAGATGCATGTTACCATTCCTATATATATATATTTTTTTTTTGAGATGGAGTCTTGCTCTGTTGCCCAGTCTGGAGTGCAGTGGTGTGATCTGGGCTCACTGCAACCTCCGCCTCCTGGGTTCAAGTGATTCTCCTGCCTCATTCTCCTGAGTAGCTGGGATTATAGGCACCGCCACCAAGCCTGGCTAATTTTTGTGTTTTTAGTAGAGACGGGGTTTCACCATGTTGGCCAGGCTGGTCTCGAACTCCTTACCTCATGATCCACCCGCCTTGGCCTCCCAAAGTTCTGGGATTAGGAAGAGAAATTTATAATAGGAAAAATGCACATTAAAGCAAAATACCGTTGCAAACAATTTTGAATTGAAATAGTATGGGGTAGATTTCAAAATAGGGTTTATATAAATTTTGTATTAATTACCAAATAGCAAGTGGCTTGCTTGCGGGCTTCCTCCAGTAGCCTGATTGTGTAGAGCAGTGGTTCTCAAACTTAAGCCGGCTTCGGATCACTGAGGATTTTGTCAAATACAGGTCTTGCGTAGCTGGGTGACTTGAGTATCTGACAAGTTCCTATGTGTTGCTGAGGCTTCAGGTTCAGGACCATGCTTTGAGAACCACCAGCCAAGAGCATGAGCTTCTTCCTTAATCGAGATAATTACGGCTTTCTTCAGGTTTTGCAGTTCCTTAGAATGTGACATTTTTTGCCTGCATACTATATTAGGCAACTTGATTACTAATTATATTGTTTTTGGTATAGCAACTTTGATTTTTAACATTAACAGCAAAATTGAAAGATTTTATGTCTTTAATATGCTAGCAATATACATTCATTGAAAGAAGTTAAAACAATTCATATTGAAATATATGAAAAAATAAACATTCTTTACCTAAACTGCTTCTCAACGATAACCACTGTTAACAGTTTGAGGTATAACCTTCCATAATTTTTTTCTCTGCAGTTTTAATCTATGTACACAAATGGATATATTTTTATTTTTGCAAAATAATCAGCCTTGTAATCTGAGTCCACATATATGTAGAATGTATGTCAAATTGTCTGCAAAATACTCTACATATGGATGGGACATAAATTATTTAATATCTTCCCTCAACTGAGAGACACATTGCTTCTGTCTTTCCGGCATTAGACACATGTACTTAATGGTAAAAATATTTCTAACATCTTTTGTGATTTGAGAAACTTAAAACAATTTACATATTATATGGGTAAGCAATTATAATATGAAAGATGACTGTTTTGCACCTTATTTTTTAAGACTTTATGAATGATATTGACAGAATGTCTTCTACTCACCTTACGGTTTCCTTCTTTGGAAGCTTCAGGCGTATGTACATGTAGTTGGACTAATGTGACCATTTCAAAGCATCCAATATATTCTTTCATCTATGTCATGGATTTAGGTTGTGGACCTTGATCGTGGGTTAGTATTGAATGCAGAAGGAAGGTACCTCCAAGATTCACATGGAAATCCTCTTCGGATTAAATTAGGAGGAGATGGTCGAACCATTGTGGGTAAGGGAAAATGGTTTCTAAAGAATAAAAGCCCACTGAATTAGCTATAGAATCACAGCTTCTATCTTCCTTCGCCCCCTCATTGATAGTGATTGTTCTTGGTGTGGTGACTTTTACCCATGTGGGAAGAAGAGCCTCAAAAGAGGCAGCACTTGGTGTTTCCCCCAGACTGCTTTGGTTCTACTCTTCCTGCAGGCTGCACCTGCTAGAAAATGTGGCCCTTTGTTCTTAAATTGGCCCTTTTAGAGGAGGGCTCCACAAACTACAACCTGTAGGTTGTAGTTCAGTACCTATTTTTGTAAGCCCTGACAGCTCAGAATAGTTGTTACTTTTTTTTTTGAGATGGAGTCTTGCTCTGTTGCCCACGCTGGAGTGCAGTGGCACAATCTCAGCTCACTGCAGTCTCCACCTCCTGGGTTCAAGCGATTCTTCTGCCTCAGCCTCCTGAGCAGCTGGGTTTACTGGTTCCCACCACCAAGCCTGGCTAATTTTTGTATTTTTAGTAGAGATGGGCTTTTGCCATATTGGCCAGGCTGGTCTTGAACTCCTGACCTCAGGTGATCCATCTGCCTCTGCCTCCCAAGGTTCTGGGATTATAGGTGTGAACCACCACGCCCGGCCTAGTTTTTACGTTTTTAAATGATTGCCAGAAAAAAAAATATATTTTGTGACGTGATAATTATATAAAATGCACACTTCATTGTCCATATGCAAAGTTTTATTGGAACACAATACACTCACTTATTTATGCATCGTCTAACTCATTTGTTATGTGTTCTTTATGTATTGCCTATCTTCTTTTTTGCACTCCAAAAGCTGATTGACTAGTTGCAACAGAGACCATCTTGCCTATAAGGCTTAAAATATTTACTTCCTGGCCTTTTACGGAAGTTTTCCACCCTTAATCCAAAATAACACTTTTCCCTCTTAGAAGTAGGAATGAGGCAAAGGAAAGTATTACTTCCTCTGCTAGACACAAGAGCTATCTCAGGATAATGGGGCATACTGATGCAATATTCATTTATGTCTTTGCCTTTTACTGATTAAAACATGTTCATACATAAGCTTTGAGAAGACACTTGTTACTTGCTTTTTATTGTTTCACCTTGTTTAATTCATAGCTATTGGTTGATTTTGTTTCAGACCTGGAAGGGACCCCCGTCGTGAGTCCTGATGGCCTGCCCCTCTTTGGACAGGGGCGACATGGCACACCCTTGGCCAGTGCACAGGATAAGCCAATTTTGAGTCTTGGAGGAAAGCCGCTGGTGGGCTTGGAGGTCATCAAAACAACCACCCGTCCCCCTACCACCACCACGCGGCCCACCACTACTACAACGCCCCTGCCTACGACTACTACCCCCAGACCCACCACGGCCACCACCCGCCGCACGACCACCACCCGCCGCACGACCACCAGGCGCCCAACAACCACGATCCGAACCACTATGCGGACAACCACCACCACCACCGCCAAACCCACCACTCCCATCCCCACGTGTCCCCCTGGGACTTTGGAACGGCATGACGATGATGGCAACCTGATAATGGGCTCCAGTGGGATCCCGGAGTGCTATGCTGAAGAAGGTAACTGGCTTTGTTCTAATGCTAACCACGTACCAGGCACACTAGCATGCTGCAGCTCAGAGCAGGGTGGTGGAACCTGCAGGGGAGGGATGAGAACTGCACACAGCAAAGCAGCAACCAGATACATTTTGATCCCAGCAGGTTTGTTTGACAGTACCATGTCATAGCTAAGGCTGGAAGACTTAAAGAAAAATATTGCATAGGACATATTTATATGAAAAAGTTATTTGCTCCTCACTTAAAGTCAGATTTAACTGGGCTCCTGTGTTCATCTGGCAACTCTTATCACAACCCAAGTCAAGAATTTAGCTGGAACTTGTGACATTAGGTGTTTGGACTAGCATTTCCCAAAGTGTGTTCCAATGGATATTGTAGATTAGTGGTTGTAACATATATGTATATGCTTGAAAGGTTCTGTGATTAGCTATGTGATTTAAATAAGGTTGGATAAATTTCTTACAGTTGTAACACTTAGATCATAGAATAGTTCATTGAGAATCTCCAAGAAAAGGAATGTTTCCCCAGCATATTCAGCAGCTGAGCACTTTTTTGATCGGCCCTCCTTGAAGACGTTTAGGAATCAAGCTTGGAATTCTTATGCAGCATTGTTGACCATGATAAGTCCAATTGGTATGAACATGAATATTGGTATGAACATGAATATTGTATCCAAGATGGGAATTCTGTTGGAATTTAGTCTTTCTGTGGAAGAGCTCCAAATAAACAGGAAAACTTCACACATCTAAAAATTTCACACCAAAAGAACATGGAAATACATACAGAGGGAGAGGAACAATGGGAAGAAAATTTTTCCTCTGTCCATTGACCCAGTGAGTACAAATTTGAATTTATCTTTGAATTCCTAGTATTAAAATATTATGTTAATTTCCTGACATCTGACTTCTGCATGCATTAATGTGTTTAGTTTTAAAGGCTGAACTATAATTAAAATAATTACTTAATAGTTGGCTGTAAACAAAAAAGTGGCTATTTTGGATTTGGTTTTAATTAATGTGGCTATTATTTCACATTTTATTTTGTCTGGTTTTATTTAGGGCTTCTAACGTTCTTTTTCTTTACTTTGTATTTTTGGACTTTTATTTGACATGAAAGTCAATATTTTTCTTGGCATTTTTGCCTCTTATTTTCTTTGCAAATCATGACATATATATGTTCACTGCCGCCCAGTCTCCTGATTCTCTAGTCCAAGCTAAAGAATAATTTTCCTCTGGATAACATTTTGAAAATAAGTACAAATCAACACAAAGTCTTGGGGAAAAGTTAAATTTGGAGACAGCAACATAGCATCCTTATATTGTATTTTAATGCACTATAATTTGTTATTTTACAAAGACTTCCATATGGCCTTTCTTCCTTTCTGAATTCTACCGTTCTGCTAACAAATTCATTAAACATTTTCTTCTTTGTTAACTGTAATCATAGTTAATTTTATCTTTTAATCTTTTTAAACCACTTTCTTGATGCATGTTTGGCATAGAAAAGGTTTTGCATATTTAATCTATATGTGTGGACGAGTTTGGGATAGAATCCACTCACGAAATCATCATCGCACTTAAGACCACAGACACATCCGTCACCTCCCAAAGTTTCCTCCCACTCCCACTACTTTATTGTTAGTGTTATTCTTTTCTCTTTCTTTGTAGTAAGAACACACCCCATAAAAATGGTCATTTTTTTGTGATAAGAAATTAAACTTTTACTATTACAAAGATACATGCACATACATGTTCACTGCAGTACTAGTCACAATAGCAAAGACACAGAATCAACCCAAATGCCCATAGTGATAGACTGGACAAAGAAATTGTGGTCCAATATACATAATGGAATATTATGCAGCCATAAAAAGGCACAAGATTATGTCCTTTGCAGGAACATGGATGGAGCTGAAAGCCATTATCCTCACCAAAATAACACAGGAACAGAAAACCAAACACCACGTGTTCTCACTTATAAGTGGGAGCTGAACAATGAGAACACATGGACACAGGGAGGGGAACAACATATAGTGGGGCCTGTTAGAGGGTGGGGTGGGAGAAGGGAGAGCATTGGGAAAAATAGCTAATGCATGCTGTGCTTCATACCTAGATGACGGGTTGATCTGTGCAGCAAACCACCATGGCACACGACTACCTTTGTAACAAGCCTGCACCTGCTACACATGTACTCCAGAACTTAAAAATAAAAATGTTTTTAAATTAAATTTTAAAAATATACTAGCTCTATTGAAATAAAATTCATATACCATAAAGTTCACCTTTTAAAGTTGGTGGATTTTAATATAATTGGAGCTGTGCAATGATCACCACTGTTAGACTGCATAATATTCTCATCACCCCAGGAGAAGTTCCACACTCATTAGCAGCAAGCCCGCATTCCTCCCTCCTCCCAACCCCTGGAAACCGCTAATGTACTTCCTCTCTCTATGGATTTACCCATTTGGGACATTTTGTATAAATGGAATCATGTCATATGTGGCTTTTTGTGTCTGACTTCTTTCACTTAGCATAATTGTTTTCAAGATTCATTCACATTATAGAATATATCAGTACTTAATTCTTTTTCTTCCATTGTATGAATATACAGCATTTTTTCCATTCATCAGTCAGTGTCTTCTGGGCTATTTCCACATTTTGGTTGTTATGAATAATGCTGCCTTGAACCTTTGTTTGTTTAGTTTTGCTCTTCTTGATCTTACTTCTCCATTGGATAATAAACTCTTTGCAGTTGAGACAGTGTCTTCTGTCCCATCTCTAATTCCTTGTGGTACCTAAGTATGCAGCTTCGGATATCTAAGCAAGACCTTAAGGTGTAGGCATTCCCCATGTCCTAAATACCAGTGCTCTTTTTTTTTTTTTTTCAGGTTCCGTTTCTAGAGCAAATCTGATAGAGGGTATATATGGATTGTGATGAGCCAGATGAACATCTTCAAGAATTTGTAGCATGACCTTGTTACAGGTCACAGAAAAACATCAGTCATTATGGAAAACAGATCTTCCCCATCACAGCTGGGTCTCCAGACAGAAAATACTGAGAAACTGAAAAATTCACTTGAGCTGGACCAACTGTACAATGTGCAATATCCCTGAGTTTCAAATGGCTGTCATTTACCTTCTGTCTCTAAACTTCTACTGAGAATAATTTTAAAAAATATTTTTAATAACTCTGGAGCAAAGACCTTATTTGTTTGGTGAAAATTTTCACTTATTTTTTTTTGTGACTACATGAATAAACTACCGAAGAGAATAAACTGCACTTCTAGGGTTGACGGCTGGCACTGTTTATGTGAAGAGCGTTTCACACTGGTGCTGGGTTGACTTGCAAGATACCCAGTTATACATAGTTCTGAATGGTTTAAAATGGCATTCAGATGGGCCAAGTCAGGTGGTCAACTTTTTTAAAAAAATTGTGAATATATTTCATTACATCTGGAAGTTATTTTTACTTGGAGTCAAGATGGTTCTATTTTAGAAAAATTATGCCTGAGTTTTTTTTAGTCTTAAGAAAAAGAACGCCAGAATCACTCAGTAGGTTGTTTACTTAATGCCAGAGGACTTAACTGTCACTCATCTCAGGAAGTGAACTCATTTGCAGGTAAAAGCATCATTTCTGTGGTCTGCTGCTTTCATTGGAGTGTTTCAGCACCTCAAGGAATTACCCATAACAACAGAGTCCATGAAGGAAATGATACACTTTTCCCTTTTCTTGTTCACCCTGTGATGAAAAACCTCACAATGTATTCATTTTTGACCTGGCTAAAAACAATAATGAAAAGAAATGACACTGAACTGATAATGAGGAAGAGCAAGATGATATTCCTAGAGGTTAAATTGACAAGGGAAAGAAAATGATAGGCCACAAAATAATGGCAAGATAATCCCAAACTTTAGAGGGTGTGAACTTGCAAACTGATTTGAACAAGCTCAGAAGTAATTTGTCTTGGATCTCAGGCATATTGACATTGGAATGACTGAAGGAAAGTTTATGTTTAATAGTTTTTCATGAAATGGCCACTCTACCCTGAAACGGATGGATAATTTACAACTTCTCTCTGCTTAACATTCATTGGCTGCATTAGCACACACCAGAGTCATTGCCTCAAGGACCATCTCTTGGGTTTCTGAATAGGAGCTGGGGGCTTCTGAATAGAACTGTGATTCCAGGAAGGCTGGACAGACCATTCGAGGTTGCCGTTGTCTTTCATGGGTGGAGTTTGTTTTTACAATGTAACATTCATGTCATTCAAACTAGACTAAAAAAGATTGGTAGAATAACGACATAGGAGTTTATATACCTTCTATTTCAATTTCCCCTTCATTACACTGTGGAATGGTGATTCTAATTGAACATCTTCATGTTTACAAATAATTTTATTGGTTAGCTCAACTTTTAAGAAGTGGAGGCAGTTTTATGAAGTATAAAGTACGTAGTCTTTGGAGCCAGAAAGCTTGAAGATCACATTCTGTTTTTGCTGTCTTTTACCATCTGCACGTCTCAGGCATGCTGTAAATCTTCCCAGAGCCGTGGTGTCCTTGGCAGATGTATTAGTCTGTTTTCATACTGCCATAAAGATACTACCTGAGACTGGGTAACTTATAAAGGAAAGAGGTTTAATTGACTCACAGTTCTAAATGGCTGGGGAGGCCTCAGGAAACTTACAATCATGGCAGATGGAGAAGCAGGCACATCTTACATGGTGGCAGGTGAGAGCGAGAGAGAGCAAGTGTGCAGGAAAATCTCCCATTTATAAAACCATCAGATCTTGTGAGAATTCACCTCCTATCATGAGAACAACATGAGGGAAGCTTCCCCCATAATCCAATCACTTTCCACCAGATCGTTCCGTGGACATGTGGGGATTTTAGGGATTACTATTCAAGATGAAATTTGGGTGGGGACACAGCCAAACCATATCAGCTGGGAAACGGTTATTTATAAGCTCAGTGTATCTCAAGGGTTTGTTGTGAAATTAATTCAAACAAGATATACATAAAAGTGGCTGATGCACAGAAGACATCCAGGAAACCATCCACTAGTCACTTCTTCCTGTTTTCCCCACCTCGCTCCCTTTTAAAGGTGCGTTTAGAGAGTTCTATATAATTGCTGTGGGCTTCAGGTCAAAGGGAGGAAAGGAATTCCTTTGAATTTTTTTTTTTGAGCTATAAAACTTTTGCCTCAAGATTTTATCAGCTGTAGTGAGATGTTCTCTTTTTTTCAGCTACATCTATATCCCCCAAGTAGAGAAATATTATAATTGATTCCATGACACCTTTTCCAAAACACTTCTGCTTAAACTACCCTGATAATGGAGGCAAAGATACCTTTTATGCATAAATCACTCACCTAACCACATGTTACTCATGCTCATAATATCAGTTTAGTTATTACGGGAATTTTAATAGTTCTAACTAGGGTTTCCTGGCTTTTCCAAAAATCGCATCTGAAATTTTATATTACATTTCAAGTATAATTCTGTAGTCAAAATAGATCTATTGGTTAATACAGTCCAATCTGTCTGTAAAGAGACATTTGCAATCACTGACATATTTTTCCAAACTTCCTAGGCAAGTTAGGAAATCTGATTTATCTCCCAAGTCCATGAGAGAGGGTGGGAGGTCAGTAGGAAGTAGAGAAGCACAGGAAATTCGTGTTGGTAGGGTTTGCCAAGTTGGCACATAGAAGAGGTAGGAAATTACCCTGTTTCTAGAATATTCCAGAGGCAAGATGGATGGGGTGGAAGAATGAAGACTGATGAAGAGGGGAGTTCACGTAAGGGGCTTTTGTCACCATCCTGAGCACCAATCGTCCACCCTCTTTTCTCTCTCGTGACTGCTTCCTGAGAGCACCTGCTGTGGCATGAGGGGAGGGGGTCTTCCCACAGCATCAGAGCCCTGCAGGCACGCCTTGCAGCCCTGCGGGCGGGTGGGCTGAGCTGGTGGGAGGGAAGTGAGAGAGAGCTCAGTGGTGCTGAGGAGTCTGGGGATGTGGAGCGGGGTGTTTGCTCCTGATGGGGCAGGCATTTGTATTGCCCTTTTCTGGGCCCAAAGGAGAGACAGTCTGGGTTCCATGTCAGTGCTTTGATGATTTTCCTCCTGAAAAAGTTGTGGAGACTTGGGCCTTGGGGACTTGTTTTTGTGACCTACTTGAGGTGAATGATTGTTACGCTCTGGGACCTGCTTCTGAGAGAACCTCGGAGAAAGAGCCCTGGATGACTGGTCTTTCTCTCTGTACTCACTAGATGAGTTCTCAGGCTTGGAGACCGACACCGCAGTACCCACGGAAGAGGCCTATGTTATATATGACGAAGGTACAAACTGGCTTTTGAAAAATTGTTTGCACACTTTCTTTCCTGATCAAAAGATCTGATTGTAACTATTGAGTGGATGATCTTGATGAAGTTTCCTTTAGAACTTTGGGCTGGTGGCAATGCTGAGGGCTGGCTTAGAGAAGGGTGATTGTACCCCATGCTTCCACATCAGCTTGAAATGCATATCTGATCTATGAAAAACATTAATGCTTACCATGCAGGTGCAGCTTTCCACCTGGTCCCTGTGCTCCCTGGTCCCTGAGCTCCCCGTTCCCTCCCTCCCAACTCTCTTGGGGCCCAAGGAATTCTGGAGTTGTCCATCTGGGCTCCCCTTCGGCCTTTATTTATAAAACTTACTTGGTTTAATCAAATGCCACTTCCTTACTTGGCTCTTCTCTTTCTTACCCTTTTCTTTTCTCTCCTTTTCTAATTACATAAAAAATGTGATGCTTAAACCTGTTGATTTCTTATCACAAAATCGTTTCAAGGGTAAGTTTATAAGATTAGGAACATAGGCCGGCTGCAGTGGCTCAAGCCCGTAATCTTAACATTTTGCAAGGTCAAGGAGGGAGGATCACCTGAGCCCAGGAGTTCAAAACCAGCCTGGGCAACATAGCAAGATCCTGTCTCTACCAAAAGTTAAAAAATTAGCCGAATGTAGTAGCACACACCTGTAGTTCCAGCTACCTGAGAGGCTGAGACAGGAGGATCCTTTTGAGCCCAGGAGTTCGAGCTATGATGGCATCACTGCGCTCCAGCCTGGGTGAGAAAACAACAACCCATTAAAAATTTTTTTTTTTAAATTGCATTTTAGGTTTTCGGATACATGTGAAGAACATGTAAGATTGTTGCATAGGTACACACGTGGCAGTGTGATGTGCTGCCTTCCTCCCCTTCACCTATATCTGGCATTTCTCCCCATGCTATCTCTCCCCACCCCCGTCCCTCCCCCATTTCCCCTCAACAGACCCCAGTGTGTAGTGCTCCCCTCCCTGTGTCCATGTGTTCTCATTATTCAACACCCGCCTATGAGTGAGAACATGCGGTGTTTGATTTTCTGCTCTTGTGTCAGTTTGCTGAGAACGATGGTTTCCAGGTTCATCCATGTCCCTACAAAGGACACAAACTCATCATTTTTGATGGTGGCATAATAATACGAACAATACCATCAGTTACCATCTACTGAGTGACTCTCCCAGATGTATTCTTAACCTTAAAAAAAATTTTTTTTTTGATTAGACAAATGGGACCTAATAAAAAAAATTTTTTTTTAAGGTTAAGAATACATCTGGGAGAGTCACTCAGTAGATGGTAACTGATGGTATTGTTCGTATTATTATACTTAGGACCCTGTGATTGGTTTGTGTGATTGGGAAGTTGCCTCTGCAGTTGAAGAAGTTCTTAGAGGAATCTTGTCCACACCCAGTGTGGCCTGTGACACCAGGGCTCAGGATTCTACTTCTGAGCTCTACCTTTTCTGAGATTATTCATAGCTCTAATTGTCTTAAATCACAACTGTGCAAACAACGTCACCTTTGATGTTAGTTATTCATAGTAAAGCCCAATGTAGTGGTTTAATCCCAAGGTTTTCAAACAAAATTGACTTAAAAGAAAAACAGCAGATGTTAGAAAGCAAAAGATTTTTTTAGCACCTTTGAAACTATGAAGCATCTTATCTTTGAACAGTTTGAAAAAGGGGCAGAGTTTTCTTTTCTTTTTTAAGTGTTAAAGGATTAGTTGTCTTGGCAGGATTAAACCCACCCACCCCCATTCCCAGAAAAAAGTTCATACACAGAAGAAAACAAGTTTTTTGTTTTTTTTTTCCGAGATGGAGTCTTGCTCTGTTACCCATGCTGGAGTATAGAGGCATGATCTTGGCTCACTGCAACCTCCTCCTCCTTGGTTCAAGCAATTCTCATGCCTCAGCCTCCCTCTCGAGTAGCTGTGACTAGGGGTGCATACCACCATGCTTGGCTAAGTTTTGTATTTTTAGTAGAGATGAGATTTCACCATGTTGGCCATGCTGGTCTTGAACTCCTGACCTCAGGTGATCTGCCTGCCTCCACCTCCCAAAGTACTGGGATTACAGGTGTGAGCCACTGTGCCCGGCCTGAAAAACATTTTTTAAGAAAAAAATTCAAGTTTATTTTTTGATGTGATCTTTTATTCTCTAAAAGGGAACATTATGCAGGTAGAGCATGGCCTTGGGCCAGTGCCGTCAGCTAAGGATGAATTCTAAGTTTCTCTCCAGCTCTGAGTCTAAAACCCCATTTTTCTTGTCATATGTGTTTCTTTTTGCCCTTACTCTCTTCTGTCTGCAGCTGCTTTTCTGCAGGGACAGAAATGGGAAGCAATAGTATTTTAGTAAAAATAAATTACGTTTGGGCATAGCATTTATTTTCGTGTGTGTTTGTGTGTGTGTGTTTGTGTGTGTGTGTGTGTGTGTATAGCTTTGGGAGCCGGAGGTGGGAGAATCATGAGGTCAAGAGATTGAGACCATCCTGGCCTCACATGGTGAAACCCCGTCTTTACTAAAAATACAAAAATTAGCTGGGCATTGTGGCATGCACCTGTAGTCCCAGCTACTTGGGAGGCTGAGGCAGGAGAATCGCTTGAACCCGGGAGTTGGAGGTTGCAGTGAGCCGAGACCACGCCACTAAACTTTAGCCTGGTGACAGAGGGAGACTCCATCTCAAAAAAAAAAAAAGAAGATACCATTTGACTGTAGACAACTCCCCTTTCTGGCAGTGCCCAATACAGAGCCTTCATTTCATTTCAGATTATGAATTTGAGACCTCGAGGCCACCAACCACCACCGAGCCCTCGACCACTGCTACCACCCCGAGGGTCATCCCAGAAGAAGGTGCCATCAGTTCCTTTCCTGAAGAAGAATTTGATTTGGCTGGAAGGAAACGATTTGTTGGTAAATATTACGTCTTTATTCAGAGAAACATGGGTTTTTAAGTTTTGCTCTTTGAAGAAGAGCATAACCAATCTCAACCTGGCCAAGGCAGTGCATTTTGAGAAGTCTTCCCAGAGTGAAGTTTCCACTGGGCATAATTGAGTGAGTCAGTCTTATGTAGATGTGTATTATTTTGCTTTCTGACAAAATCAGAAAAGGGGAGGATTTGGTGTCCAACAGAGGAAAGCTGAGAGAGGCTGCTGTGTAGACTAAGAGTAAGAAGCTCTTAAAAACCATCAGGGCCAGGGAACATCAATGTTTTTATTGTAGCCATTTTTTGTACGACAAGACTTAACACTGGGCCTTGTGTGTGTACTGTTTGTCAAATTCTTCCTAAAAGGTTAGCCGTGTACTGAATTGAGCCACTATCACTTATAGTATCACAGAGAGGAAGCTTTTTTCTTTAGTTACTTCCTATCACTTTCGTTAGCTTCAAGGATTTGTGATCTAGAAATTCCTTTCACTCTTCTTTCTCAGTAATTAAAACAGTTTCAGCGGAAAATTCTGTGTAACTAACCTGCATTAAGCCTCGCGAGTCTTCTTTTCCCATGCCCTTAATGAACTTCATTAATGAGACAGCTGGATTCATATATTACTAAGTGGAGACAAGCAACAGCTTAAACTAATATCACACTTGGCTGTTTCCAAAACAACTGTTCTGCCATGAGCAGAGAACGACTCTTGCCAGCCAAGATGTAGTGACTGGGTGTCTAACCACACATACTTGAAGAACAAGAATATTAATTTGAGGTGGCGTTCCTGAGGCCAACACTAACACGCAGCTGCCTGGCTGCCTTTATCACATGCGCTGACTTCTCTCCCGGCGGTTCCATGACGGGAATTGAAATGCTTTAGTGCTATTATTAGCTGTTCCACAGAACTCCTAAACACCAAGGGCTTACTAGTGTCTGGCTCTTTTCATAAGTCTACAACTCTCTAAAGCATGGGAGCCTAGTCCCCAAAACTTCCTGATAAGACCCATGGACATTAAAGGCCTAACTTCAGACTAATTTTTGGAAAACACTACCTTACTATGTTCCAGGGATTCTGTATCTTTGTTCTCATTAGTTTCAAAGAACTTCTTGACTTCTGCCTTAATTTCATCATTTGCCCAAAAGTCAAATAGAGAAGCCAAAAATTGCATTCAATCCAAATAGCCACTGAGAACGACAACCTAGCACCAAAAGATACAGTGGAATCTTCAGAAGCTGCCAGACGTGGTTACTTGAGATCTCTTGAGAGTTTTGCCTGTATAAAGCCCCAATCCCGAGTCCCTGAGATTTCTAATTTAGTGGGATATAATAGAGCTGGGCCAGGCACAGTTTCTCTTGCCCGTAATCCCAGCACTTTGGGAGGCTAAGGAGGGCAGATCACCAGGTCAGGAGATCGAGACCATCCTAGCCAACATAGTGAAACCCGTCTCTACTAAAAATACAAATATTAGCTGGGCTTGGTGTTGTGTACCTATAGTCTTAGCTACTTGGGAGGCTAAGGTAGGAGAATTGCTTGAGCCCGGGAGGCGGAGGTTGCAGTGAGTCAAGATCACGCCATTGCACTCCAGCCTGATGATACAGAGCGAGACTCCATCTCAAAAAAAAAAAAAAAAAAAAAAAGGGCTGGGGGTGACAGCCTCCTGTCTGACCCTTACATAGTGGGCACTGTCAGCATTGGTAGGCAAGATGGTAACATGAGGCCACTGATTCATATCCCACCTTATTCCCAGGACCTTGTATCCACTGAAATGAAGTGTGTAGAAAAATCTTCGGCCATATGTAAATGTGAGTGGCTGTTGTTATACTGAGCAGTGATGTTTTAGACAGCGATTCAGGCCTGGGCTTATGCACAGATGCTCCAAATTGCTGTTGGGGTTTATGAAGCTCTAGGGAAGGCCACGCAGGGCTGAGGGTAAAGGCTGTATATCTTGATCAATGTACATTTTTTCCTAGTCCCAAGATAGTTAAGGGAATGAACTTTGCTGAGAGAAGGCCTGACTCACACTTTTCCAAATGTTGGGGCACAGGAATGGCAGAGAGCTGCAGGCTTATATTACATTGAATTATAGTTTCATGATCTCTCAAAACCACTTTGTGGGCATAGTCATTGATGTCGATGGGGACAATAGGATCTTCTGGAATTACCAGATTGAAAGACATAAGCACATGGATCCATTAAATAGAGCAGGGGATGTGTTTATGAGCTTGGCAGCAAGGCTGTTGGAGCCTCTGTCCAACAGGGAGAGACTGAATGGTGGGTCTGACTCTGTGGAGCAGATGCTATGTTTCTGCCTCCAGAAAAAGCCTCCAGCAATCCAACTGGTCATCTCTGTTCTTTTCCAGCTCCTTACGTGACATACCTAAATAAAGACCCATCGGCCCCGTGCTCTCTGACTGATGCACTGGATCACTTCCAAGTGGACAGCCTGGATGAAATCATTCCCAATGATCTGAGGAAGAGTGACCTGCCTCCTCAGCATGCTCCCCGCAACATCACCGTGGTGGCCGTGGAAGGCTGCCATTCATTTGTCATTGTGGACTGGGACAAAGCCGCCCCAGGAGATGTGGTCACAGGTGTGTCCTAGGCAGATATCAGAGTTCCCATGATCTGTAGGTGGGAAATGTGGAGAATAAAGAGTGATGGATAAGTGGATGGATGCAGGCCTGGCTGGATGGTTTGGATGGATTGGATGGATGAATGTAGATGTCTTCCTTCAACAGGATGAAATAGAGGCAACAACGGAGGCCTCATGCGGTAGTGTAGGGAGTACTGGATGAAAGTCAGAGGTCCTAAATCCTCGTCCCAGATTGATTTGCATGATCTTCAGCTCAGTACTTCATCTTTCTGGGCCTTGGTTTCCCCATATGCAAAATATGACTACATCTCTAATATCCTGTAATCTTGCAAATGACCAGGGAGTCCAGCTAGCCCCTTGTAGGATCAGATCCTGCAGTGAGCGTGACCATGAAACTCCCACTGTGTGGCACAGCTGTCCCTTGTTGGAGTCAGCCCTGGGCTTGTGCCTCTGCCTCTTTCTCTCCTTCCATGTCCACTGGGTGCTTCCAGACCAATCTAGGTGCTTCTCAGTTCCTTATGTGGAAATTGGAGCTGATGAAAAGATGCCCAGGGATCTTGAGGCTCCTTGGCCTCTGAGATATTTACGTTCACTCTGCCAAGGATATATTTGAAGATACATCTTGAAATGTAAGTTCTTACAGAAAGAGAATTGATATTTTCTTTGAATAGTTGCAATTTTTTTTCTGGGCCTCTGAGCCGTGTAAGAGGAAGAAATATGTATGTGGCTGTGTATGTTTCTGACTGGGAGGTAGCAGTTGCACCAGAGGTCAGAGTTCGACATTTCTGCCATTGTTGCGCTAGTGCAGTTTGTATAATTCAAAATTTCTAGTGCTTGCCGTGGTGTTCCCAGTATTGTATCTTACAATGGAAATATGTGTCTGAGAATATGCAAAGAGCTTCTTCCCTTGTGGAATTTGTACAGGGACGCAAAAGCCAGAATAAGGGACACAGAAAAGAAGGCTACTGGGTGTTCTGCCAGGTGAGACTGAAGGGCCTGGGGTTCAGGGAGGTTGTGGGATTGAGGAGTTCGAATCTTTAGCGGAACTAAAGGTCAGTCCCAGGAAGGTGCGACATGGACCAGCATGAAGTCCAGGGTGTTCCGAACAGAATGGAAACCATCAATGGAAGGAGGAAAGCTTGTAATCCAACAGCCAGAAAATCTTTTTATTAATTGAACACACCTCTGTGAATGGTAATTTTTAAAAGCAAGCAAGAAAGCATACAGAAAAAATAATTTAAAACCTACTTTAAGCAGTTTAACTTTCGACCTCTTGCGTAACAGATATTACTTAACATAAATATATCACTGTGCCCTGATTCAAAGGGCTTCTAAGAAGCAGTGGCTGCAGGATGAGAGCATTGGCCCAGTTAAACATGCCTTAAGGATTCTTGCAGTGAAGAAGGAGCTTTCAGGGAACCCCCAACAAATGTCTCTGACTTAATTCAGACGTGATTTCTGTATTGTCCTGTAGAGGGCAGGCTTCTGAAACACCCATGCCGTCTAAGTTCATCAGTCCAAGCCGCTCAGAGCTCCCTAGAGCATTTGTGTCCTCACATCCACCACCCTGCACCTCATCCAAAATGAAAACTCAGAGCCCTAATCAAGAGTACTCATGACACCAGCATAAATAATATGGATGAGGTATTTTTAGGGCACTCCCAATATAGAACCGTGCCAAGGTCTGTCAAACTGATTACTGAGGAACAGTGCAGCCCATGATGGCTCTGTGGTGTGGGGGAAAGACTCCACAAGGCTCAGAGAGAATAGCGGCAGCTCGTCATCCATTGGTCAACCAAGCACCTGCTCTTTCACCTGTGGAACAATGAAGTGGATACATCCTGAACTTAAACGAAGCATCACATTATCAGGCCCCCCTGCAGGGTGTTTGAATCCTGCAGGCTACATGGATGTTGTATGCTCTGCTCTTTTTCACTTGCCATCCCTTCTTTCACAGGCAATCAAGTCAATGTGTAACAAGATGGTGCCCAAACAGTGTGAAACTCCCAGAATTCCTGCCCGCAACCTGCTGCTTTCCCAAATCCCTCCTGATGAATGAAGTTATTACTTTATTAGGAGTGATTCTGTAGGAAATCACCAATGTGATGACCTCTTAGTTTTTCAGGACCATTTTATCAGTCACTTTCAGGACTGGTTTTGATGAGAACAACAGAAATCAGGAGCTACGCTGTGCTCTGCAAGCACATTATCAAACCCTGAAGCCTTCAAAACCCAGACACAGGATCAGCTGAGAGACCAGAACCTTACATGGGAAACACAGGGTTCAGACGGAAGCCAAAGGTCCAAGAGTCTGAGCTTTGCCAACTCCATTAGAAGCCGGGTTTCCGTGGTACATGTGTGATCTCTGTCCCCTCCTGGGTGGGCCATTGTGTGCAGCACCAGTCGAAGCATGCAGGGCTTGACTACATTGTGCCAGAGGGGGAATGCCATGGGTAGGGCAGCAACGCTTTCCAGGTTCTCATAAGGACTCTCCTCCAGGGGACAGTGTGGGAGGCCTTCAGGGCCCAGTTCACCTGGCTTCCAGGCCCAGCCTGCCCATTTGTTAGCTGTGTGATACTAACCAGTGATCAGAGGGTGCTAAATAAAATCATGTGTCCCTCGTAGGTGCATTCAATGCTATTGATCTTTTCTTTCTTTTTGACTTGTGTGATCTCTCTCAATCTCTTCATCTCCTTGCAGGCTTGTACAACATTCAGTGGTGGAATTTCTCAAGGCTTGGTCCTAGGGCCTCTTTTCCTCTGGCTCGGTCTTCTCTCCCCTCAGAGTCTCATCCATGCATGTGGTTTTAATTCATCTCAGAAATGAGTCATTGATTTATATCTCAAGGCCAGGGCATCCTCTGCTCTGAGCCCCAAATAGTAAAATCAGATGCAAATGGCAAAATCACTTGATGTCATCACTGGGATGTCTCCAGAGCATCTCAGACTTGGTGTATAAAAAGTCAGACTCACAATCACTCCCATTCCCAAATCTGGCCCTCTTTCTGATCTCAGAGAACTGTCCCACTTTCTACACACTGGCTCAAACCTGAAGCCTTGGAAGCGTCTTCAAGTCTCGTCCTTTCTCAGTTCTATATTTGATCATCATTAAATCTGGTCAATGTTACCTTCTGGATTCCTCTTGAACCCATCTATTTCTCTCCATTAGGTGCCAGGCTCATCAAAGCTATTGCCATCTCTCACCTGCCACTGTAAGAACTGTCTACCTAGACTGTCCCATCCACATCTGCACTCCCACACCCAATCCATTCTGCATTCTGCACAGAAGAGATGTGTTGAATATGCAAACCCAATTGTATAGGGTTAATGTCTTTAATGCCTTTCCCTTTCTTTTAGAATGAAAAGCAAAAGCCTAGTGTGGCCCACGGGTGCTGCCTAGTTTTCCCACCTGTGCTGCTTTAGCCTCAGCTGATGCCACCCATTCCCAGCACTTGTGGTTTCCACCACACTGCCCCATCCTGGGTCCTCCCTCTTCAGTGTGTTGCCCAGGATTCCCACTACCTGGAATCTGTCCCACCTCCTACCACACAGTTTACCTGCTTCTTATCCTTCTGATGTCAGCTTCTTCTCTGTGACCGCAGGGAGGCTGTTCGTGTCCTCCATGGTGGGAGACCTCCCCCCACACCCTCTCACAGCACTGTGGGCTGGTCCTGCAGAGTGCTCAACCCAGATTTATAATTCTGTTTCTCAGTCAACCCTGCTGCTTCGTGAGCTCCTGGTCACCACTTTATCTCCAACATTTAGTATAATGTCTGGCAAATAGTAGTTGCACAATAAATATTTGTTGAATGAATCAGTAAATGTGAATTTAGACAAGACATTTAACCCACTGCTAAGACTCAGTTTCCTCATGTGTCAAAGTGAGGAAGGCAATTTCTACATACTAGGATTGTGAGGATTGATCAAAGTCAAATTCAATAAGTACCTAGTTAGCATAATGCTTGGCATGAAGGAAGTTCTTGACAAATGTTTTCTCCTTCTGTGTACACATAAGAGACCTAGGATGTGGGATGTGCTGAGCTGTGGGATGAACTTCACTTTGCCTCCTGGGACAGCTGTAAAAGCTGGGCAGGTGTCAGGGCCAAGGGCGCACCCACTGAGGTCTATTATTAGCAAATAAGACGGAGCAGGTTGGAAAATAGAAAGAAGAGTTGCCTGACTGCTGTGATTAGACAGCAAGGGCAAGGGCAGCACAGATACTCGACAGTAAGAAATCCCAGGACAGCTTTCACCAAGTGGGCGTGGGAGCCACGGGAGTCTGGGGTCTCTCAGCCCCACGCACATGCACAGCATCTGCCAGCAACATGCTTCATTTCCTATTTAGGGCAGTGGTATACTATCTCACCATGAAGTTCTTAAATACATGTGTGGAGGGCACTGCTTTTTTCTTCTGCTTCTCTTTTCTCTGTATGGTTAAGATGAGATGTGATTAGTTCTGAGGCCATGGGGAAGCCTGGGGAATGAGCAAGAGAAGTAGGAGGCCAGCAGGTCATCAGGAAGTATCTTAATTTTGTCGTCCCCATCTGGATTCAGCAGAAGGTACCAGCGTTACACCCCATCCTGTCCCACGGTGCTGCATGCGCTCCTTCCTGCAGTTCCCGCAAGGAGCTGCGTCTGCAGCTTCGCCTCACTCCTGTCCTCAGTGGATTACATCTTTTGTGTGACTTGGTTTCTTGATGCCCATTGGGTTTTTCCCTGTTTCCATTTTCAGGTTACTTGGTTTACAGTGCATCCTATGAAGACTTCATCAGGAACAAGTGGTCCACTCAAGCTTCGTCAGTAACTCACTTGCCCATTGAGAACTTAAAGCCAAACACGAGGTATGGCGTGTCAGTCATTTCGAAACACAAGATGAGAGCTGTGTGCATGATCGCTGATATGCTTTGGTTAGAAATGAAGAGAGGAATCAAAATGTTTTTGTGATTTCTTTGAATAGTCTGTTTAGCTCTAACAGAATGTCAATGCGTGTTTACCATATTTCATATACATTTCTTAAAAGAAATGACTGCATGTATTGTCATTGTTAGGCTATTGTGCTTATATTTTCCTCCCTGTTTTCCTAAACACTACCTACCATTAGGGAAAGAAAAGTTGTTCTCTGTGTTGAAAGAACTGGTCCATTTTTAGTCCCCAGTATTGTGGCGCTAGGCATCATCACCTTCCTATGTGACAATGGAGCAGCCATCACTGAACGCTTTAATGAGCTGCTTCCCAAACTCTATGATGTAGAAGTTCACATCATTCAAGAAATACGCATTTTACACATTAGTAGAGGTTACAAGCACGTCTTCATACAGGAGGCGTGGCTGGCCAGAGAATCATTTTGGAAGCCAGAGTTCGTGGCCCTTGATGTGCAATAGGCAAAATTGGTTCCCAGGAATACAAAGAGACTGACGGTTCACTCCCCTTTTATGCTGTCTGGCTTTGGTGGCAATGACCCTCCGAAAACTCCCGGGTGGGTGAGCATGGGAAAGCACCAAGCGTGTGTTGGTCAAGAGCGGTGTGCTGGTAAACTGGCTCTCTGGGAAAGTAATTCTCTGGTTGATACCAAATCAGAGAGGCTTCTGAACAAGCTGTGAATTTTCCTCAAGACATTTTAACATGCCATTTGGGCTCACTTGAGCTGAGCTTTCATAAATTATTATGAATTTCGGGATTTGGCAAATAAAAAAGCAAGTAGTAAGCCAAGAAGCTGAGAAAGTGCTTGTTTTTACTTTTCCTTAGTAGTAATGGAAAATTGATTTTTTTAATCAATTGGAAGATGCAAAACTAACAAAATTAGAGAAAATGGAGTCAATGTCCTTTTTTTTGGTCGTGTACAGAGTGACAATGCTTTTGTGGCACAGCCTCAGCATCAAAAAGCTGAAAGAGGCCTTCCAGAGGCCTTGCCACAGAGCTACTTACAATAGAATCTGAATCACAGCCTCCTGACTCGCTGAGTTCAGCGTTCTTTCCACAGCTTTTGCTGCCAGACTGATGTTGAGTTTTGACTCATGTCAGGAGATGGTTACGTAGGGCGAAGGTTTACTCATTCTTTTAACAGGTATTATTAGAGAGTGTGCGCGGCTCATCCAGTCAGCCTTTACCTCGAGTTTCCTGAGCGCAAGGTGGAATATCCGGGCTGGGCTGGAGAAAATACACATGGCCCTGCCCTCAGGGAGTTTACGGTCTGATAGAAGAGGCAGATTTTTAAAAAACCAACATAAATGTAAACTCCCCCTGGTAGGTTTCGTGAGGGAGAGGTACACCATGCTCTGAGAGTATATAACGGGGGGATTTTTTTCTGGGCTTGGATATAGAGAAGGGAATTTGAACCGTAAGAAGCGGTCATCCTGGAGAGAAGGTGGTACTCCCAGAAGAGAAGATGCCTCAAAGAAGGGTGTGTCCTAGGAAGCAAAGGAGGCTGTTTTGGAGGAAGGGTGAGGGGAGGTGGAACAGACGGTGCCAGAGGCCCTCGGCTTGGCTCCATACACACTCCGCGCCAGCGCTGAGGCAGAGGAGGAGCAGCAGCTGCTAATCTCTCTCTCCCACGGGGCTTACCTGCTATGTGCTCTTCTGGTAGAGATGCTGGCTGCTCCTCCTGCATTTCCTCAAAACCCTTCTGAGCAGCTGCTAAATTTTAGAGCTAGGGAAGTGCAAGTGTGATGTAAGGATGCTCCTTTTCTGCCGTGTCGCCGGAACGCAGATCATATCTGGGGAACTCACTTCGGTTGTCTCAGTCCTCATGGGGCCTCTCTTGGAAAATCAGCTTCTGAGTCAACGCAGAGGCCAGAGCATGAAAGTGAGGTTTGGTTATTTACAATTGGATCTTGCTTTTAAGTGAGCATCGACTACCTTAGTCACCAGACAGAGCCCCAAAGAACTCTTTAGAGTCTGCATATTTTAAGTCCTTACTTAAAGCACACAGACTTGTCACGATTGCGGCTGTTCAAAAGAAGGTGCCAGAAGGTTTGAGGCATGGATTGCTTTTGTTACTTGGCTGAGGCAGAGACTATTCAAAGTATGAAATGTATACTTTAGTCCATCGAAAAAGTTTCATGTAGGTTTTAAAAATGGAATTTTACTTTTTGCACAATTTCATGTTGTTTTTCGGCTCAGCATATTTAAATTCGCTTTGACACCTTAGGTGAGGTTCTAACTAGAGTATGTCTTTGGAATGGTCACATGTGAGTTTCTGGAGGCCCAGAATTATTGTGTCAACAGGGAAGGTAGTTTTGGAGAATATTTAGGTTTCAGTGTCAAAACAAAATTAATATAAACAGATCCATCTGAATAGTCCTCCTCAGCCCATCAGTCACCCTTCTGCCACCTCCTTGATGGCATAGAGGCACCTCCCTCCATGGAGTTGACTACTCAGCAGAAGTGTCCCATGGAGCCCCTGAATATGCGTCCTTCCTTATGTTTTAATTTCCTTTTTTTAAGAAAAAAAAAAAAAAGTAACTGTAAAGTTTGCCCAGGATGGCAGACATATGCCAAACCCATTGCTCAAACTGCCTGTAGAGTTTTGCCTTAAATAACTCCACAACCACTGCATGAAAGTATGTGTAACTGGGAAAACACGAACTGCTGAGTGAATTGAGATTTGGAAACTCATATGTTCTTAATTGTGCATGTCTTTTTATTTAAATTGCAATATAAAAGAATACTCCTAAATAAGATGCAAATGGGCTTAAGAAGACTAATTTTACCCAATGGCTTTTCTTTGCTTTCTGTTTAATCAAACCCAAAGTAAGATATCTCTGTTCTGAGGCCAGAGACTGCCTTGGTGATCCAGCAGTTCGGAAGGCTTGAGGCCAGGGCTGTTGGTGCAATAGGCCTGATAAACCTTTGCTCTCTGAATATGAATAATTCACTTTTTAAAAAGGTAGTGCATTTTAATACATGGAATCTGTGTCCCTGACTTAGTCAAAGAATTTTATAACATTTAAGTGTGACATTCTTACTGGTCAAAAACTAGAGAAGAGGTCCCTTGTAAACTCTCTAAAATGACAGCCACAGAGCCACCAGGGATTTTTTTTTTTTTTTTTTTTGAGTTGGAAAGTTGGTGTCTTACACCGTTGCCCGGGCGCAATCTCGGCTCGCTGCAAGCTCCATCTCCCAGGTTTATGCGCTTCTCCTGCCTCAGCCTCCCGTAGCTGGGATTACAGGCGCCCACCACCACGCCTGGCTAAGTTTTTGTATTTTTAATAGTGACGGGGTTTCACTATGTTGGCCAGGCTGGTCTCAAACTCCTGACCTTGTGATCCACCCACCTCAGCCTCCCAAAGTGCTGGCATTACAGACATGAGCCACTGCACCCAGCCAGGATTCTTTACCGTTCTCTTCATCTGTAAGTAGCCAAGCACTAAAAAAGCACATAAAATATTTAGAATCGAGAGGTGAAGAAATCACAAAGATTAATGATAGACACAGTGAGACACAAGTGTGGTGTTGGGCTTTATTACTTCTCTAACCACCATTCTCTTTCTTTTGCTAATAAGAATGCGAATAAGATGCTTCAAGACTCAGTCTCCCTCCAGATGAGCTGGTTGACTCAGGCAGTGTGCTTTCCACACATTCTCTGCTCCAAGACAAAGTTTAGCCCTGCAGAAAAGTCTCTCTGGATCTTTTCCCCTTCCCCTTCTTGGACTTGTTTCTCTTTCCTTGAGGCGCAGAAGCTCATAACTCAGTGACTTTTAAGGTGGTCCCTTCCCAGCTCCAAAGCTAACCACAGGGTTTCTCATGCATCCAAGACACCATTGTTGTGTTAGGTCTTCTGAGGAGTTCATCCTGCTCAGTTCATCCTCTCCCTTCAACCATAAGTTGCATGGTTGCTAAAGCAAATGTCCTGCTCTTCTACATGGACTCCAGGGATATAATTAGGTTACAGTTTGAATTCTGCTTTGTAGTGTTTTGCTCTGGCACCTTTTCTCTCTTGGGCTGTGGAACTGAAGCAGAGATCAGTCTTAAACTAGAGGGAGAGCAGGGCTAGAGGAGCGTCTCACCAGGGATGAGCTCAGGAGAGCCTGCGCAGAGCAGGGATGGTCCTGATGCAAAGGAACGTGCAAGCAACCTGTGTTCTAATGTCACTTCTATTGCCGTTAGTGTGAAGGAACTCATGCTCACTAAGCGACCTATGTGCTAATAATGTCTCTTCTATTGCCATTAGCGTGAAAGAACGCATGCTCATCAAGTGACCTGTGTGCTAGTATGTCCCTTCTATTGCCATTAGCCATGTGTCTCTGCTATGTTAATTGTATTATTTAGGAAAATTATTCAAAACTGAGAAAGTTCAGAAAAAAATATGAAGACTTACTAGAGCTGCATGCATTTTTAAAAATTAGAACTCAAAGCCTGCCACAGCTCGGGTGTTCAGAAGTTTAGGAGTCTGTTTCATTACACAGAAATCAAATACATGTCTCTTTCAAAACATATTTTCTTCCAATTTCAGGTATTATTTTAAAGTGCAAGCACAAAATCCTCATGGCTATGGACCTATCAGCCCTTCGGTCTCATTTGTCACTGAATCAGGTATGAGGGACTTCACATTCTGATGTGTTTTACTTTTCTAAAATATGAAATAAATAATCTAGAATGATGGCTACAATAGAATAAATCCTTACTTTTCTATCTAATGAGCTCATATTGGATATCTGTTTCTAAAGTAAACATTATTTGCTTTGCGCTAGGGTAAAACTTGGATAATAAAATTAAAAGTAATTTTCACTGGCTCTCTGAGAACAGAAAGGTCAAATTCCAGTGAAAGGAAAAAAATCTAGATTTCAACAACATGGGAAAGATAAAATTGACTCTGTCTGTACAAAATTTAGTTGCAGAGATTTAAAAAAATTATTGCAACCACCTGAAGAACACACATGTCATGTGACCTGACAGGCAGTTGCTTCTGCAATGAGTCAAGTCATTGGATGCCCCTTTAGTAGAAGGCAGAGATGTCTTTAATTAGATATCTAATTAAAGATTGAGAAGTTAATTACAGTATCATTTGGTCTTACAAACAGTATCATTTGGAGCATGCCCTTGCATTTTGGGGTCCTGGTGGGCAGAGCTCTCAGTCCCTTCAAGAAAATGTTCCTGGTCAGGGGTGATGGCTCATGCCTATAATCCCAACACTTTGGGAAGCTGAGGTGGGAGGATCTCTTGAGACCAGGAGTTCCAGACCAGCTTGAACAACACAGGGAGATCCTGTCTCTACAGAAAAATTTCAAAATTAGCCAGGCATGGTGGTGTGCGCCTGTAGTCCCAGCTGCTCAGAAGGCTGAGGAGGGAGGGTGGTTTGAGCCCAGGAGGTCAAGCTGTAGTGAGCTGTGCTCACATCACTGCCCTCCAGCCTGGGTGACAGAGAGAGATCTTGTCTCTGAAAACACAGTTCCTATGGCCTATGGTCTAAGGCAGCACATGCAGAGCCAGCTACCATGATGGTTCTTGGCCTAGAGACTTTTCCATGTAGGAAGCCAAGCTGAGTTCAGAGCAACCCGGCTGAGCCAGCCCTGCACCCAGCTTCCATTTGGTTAGATTGCCTTCTGCATGCAGCCTGATCCCAGAAAATGGGTCACTGGAAGATATTTTTAAGTGTAATTATTTAAAAATCTACTGAGTCAAAATACATGGAAAAAATACAATCTTTTGTAAGAATATGCTTTATACCAGAAATGTAGGCAAAGAACCTCAAACGTGTTTTCGTCTATTTATTTAAGAAATCCGTTTCTGTGGTAATTAAGAAAGAGCAAGAGAAAATTATTATTTGTGGTTACTTTGCTAAAGTAAGGGATGTGTCTGTGATTATGACTGCATTTCCTAAAAACGAGGTGGACCTTGGCAACTGTCAGAATTAACATGAAAAAAATTTTTCAAAATTCAAATCCAAAAAGCTATCGAGAAAATCCGATCTGAAATCTTTCTGAGAGTAAAAGTGATATACATATAACTTCAGGAACTGCAGTGCAAAGTTTTGAAAAAACAACTGTCTTCTACCTTGTCCTCCAAGAGAAATTTCTGACTCATTCTTTATGGCCTTCAAGGGATGGGTGAGGAAAATTCAAGGCCCCACCCTACCCTCTGAATAAGAATCTCTCTAGGAAACACTTTCAGTGAACTCCCAGAGGATCCTCACCCACATGCAAATTGGACAGTTACTTGCTCTGGTCATCTTCCTTTATTCCATCAGTTTATTCAGGTTTCTCCTTCATTTTGTGTTACCCTGCTGAACGTGGTTAGGTGAGCAGCAGGAAAATTATCAAGTAACTGAGTTATGGCATTTGCCAAACATAACAATCTGAAAATTAACATAGAAAGTAAATGTAGTGTGTGACACCGGCTGTGCCACGACGTCAGGTTCTGCTGTCTGTGCTGCTGTCATTGTGTTTGCTTCCCTCCACCCGACCTGGGGTATTTTGGACTTTTTCGGCAGACTGTTGAACTTCAGTTCAGAGCAGGGGAGCAAAGAAAGTACTGGACACTTATGACTATGGTATGCCCCTCTGTTTTGTGGATAGCAGAGGATTTCAGAACAAATGATCTGTACAAAGGGTAGCCTAGGGAAATTTGGGGGTGATGGAAATATTTTGCGTGGTGATTGTGGCAGGATTCTATGAACCTATGCAGGCGTGAACATTCATAGGATATATACCTTAAAAGAGCAATGTACTGTATGATTATTTTTCAAAAATAAAAAAAGAATGGTCCAGATGTACCTAGTTCATGGCATTTTATAAAAATATACTTTTTCTAAAGCAGAATTCCTTAAAAAGCTAGTGTCATATTCTCTTAAATGGCATTACTTGAGCTAAGGTTGAGACATGTTTTACATTTGTTGAGGTATAAATGGCATACAGCAACCTGCATATACTTGAAGTGTATGTCTTAATATATTTTGAGTTGTGCCTGAAGCCATTGCCACTGTCCAGATAGTGAACACATCTGTCTCCCTGACAGCTTCCTCCTGCTACTATGCCATGCAGCCTTCCCAGGCCCCTTCTCTCTCCAGTTTATAGGCAAACATTCATCTGTTTCCTGTCACTATAGATTAGTTTGCACTTTCCAGATTTTGATATCAGTAGAATCATACGATGTGAACTCCTTTGACTGGCTTCTTTCACCTAGCATAATCATTGTGAGATTCATCTAAACCATTGTGTGTATCAGCAGTTCACTCCCTTTTACTAGTGGGCAGTGTTTCACTGTATGGCTGTGCTATAGTTTGTTTATCTAGTCAGATCACCTGTTGATAAACACTTGTGTTGTTTCTGCGTTTTGACTATTACAAACAAAGATGCTATAAACATTTATGTGGAGGTGTGTTGGATGGACATATGTTTCCATTTCTCTTGGATAAATGACTGAGTGGAATGAATGGATTGTATAGTAGGTGTATGCTTACCTCTTTAAGAAACCACCACACTATTTTCTAAAGGTAGGCCATTGTTTTAAATGAGTACTGAATTATTTTGTAATATCCAATATCAAAACCTTATGATTTTCAGGGATCCACAGCTTCTAGGTAAATAGCAGCACACTAACTAGAAAACAGTTTTCTCAAAAGGAAATGTTCAGAAAATAAAAACAAGGAAAATGTTGGCATTTATCAAACCTTATTTTTTTCTTTATTCTGATTTAGCTCTTTCAATTACAGTAACTATTTTAAAAATTGCATGATTGTGAAATATGATACAAAGTCCATTATCTCTTTTTCATTCTGCAGACAATCCTCTGCTTGTTGTGAGGCCCCCAGGTAAGTTTATCTTCTTGGTAATCCGGACATTCTGATAATCAGGTTGAATATTGAATATGAGATGGCTGTGATTACTCACAATGAGAAAGTCTAGACCATTTTGGCAATTTCCTGTCAACTTCAATGCTTTCCTTGCACTCTTCATCCTGATCTTCTTTACTCTATGGGAAAGAATGACCTGGGAATTTTTTAATAGAGCCATAGCAATCAACATCTATGAAAAAACATTATGGAGTAGCCAGTCCTATGAAACAGATACTTTATTTCCGTGACTCATTTGAATATTTTAAACCACTGAAAAGATAGCAAAAGGCAACAAGTAAAATAACAAGATTTACTGTATTTTTCAAGCAAACTGAGAAAGCCTTGTGGCTTAAAGGCAAAACGGATCTTCTGAGTGACAAGAAGTGGAGTCTCTACAGAGGGATGAGGGGACAGGATGGCATGCCTCAAAAGACCAAATCTGCCATTACAGCTTATTTTCCTTCTGTTTAGAGGCTTTTCTTAACTCTGAGAATCCCCTATTGAAATGCAAATACTTTAAATATGTTCAGGTAAACACCCCTAATATACTTTAGTACTAAAAAAGAGAAAGAGAAGGAGGGTGGAAAAACTTTGCTCAAAAAAGCCCTGCAAGGAGGGGAAAGCCCAGGGAGGAAGTCCAGCTTCCTGGTACTTTGCGTGAGAAGACACACTGTGGGCTGCTTACCCTCAGCGGCTGTGCTTTGTATTGTCAAGGCGGTGAGCCTATCTGGATCCCATTCGCTTTCAAACATGATCCCGGCTACACGGACTGCCATGGACGGCAATATGTGAAGCGGACGTGGTATCGAAAGTTCGTGGGAGTTGTTCTTTGTAATTCACTGAGGTATAAAATCTACCTCAGTGACAACTTGAAAGGTAAGTCTTTGTGGATGGTTGGCTATGGAAGGTATGGGACATTTTGATTTTATCATGTACTAACTTGGCACCACAGGTGCATCACAATGTTTACGAGGGCTGGAACTATGATTGTGGCTCACTCTGCCTCACCTACAAACCAGTTTTACAGATTCTACTTTGAGGATGCTAGTTTTTACACTGGCACCCTAAAACTATTCTAAAAGAATCACTGTGTTGGCCGGGCACAGTGGCTCACACCTGTAATCCCAGCACTTTGGGAGGCTGTGATGGGCGGATCTCTTGAGGTCAGGAATTCAAGACCAGCCTGGCCAACATTGTGAAACCCCATCTCTACTAAAAACAAACAAACAAACAAATAAATGAAAAGTTCACTATGTCTTAGGAATAACATAGTGACTGGCTATGTCATTCCAAAATTCTGTTAGAAATCTAAGGCGCTTTTTTTTTTTTGCCACTAATATAATATTAGTGAGTATGAGTGTGAGCTGGAATAATTGAGGAAAAGTTCCCTTTCCAGCCCCTACCAGAGCCACAGCTTTACAGAGAAAAAATGTAAATGGTGGAACATATATCAGCAGTAATATTTGTTCTGTGTCCTAATAAAAATCACATTGTTTTCATCACGGCTTAGATTAAAACAAAGAATAATTCGAGTGCCTTGAGCTACTAACACTTCTAAATGTGATTTCTATCCAGCTGGGTTTTCACTCACCCACCTACATAGCAAACTTGTTTTTTATTTTAAAACTTGCATAACTTTAAATTTTCAGTGTAGACATTTTACAAACTTTACCTCAGCTGGTCTACATTTTGTCATTGGTTAAAAATATTTTTTTAATTTTTGTTTTTTTCTTGATAGCAGTGATCATTTAAAAACAGTGTCAAAACAAAGTCTCCCCTCTGACCCCAACCCTAGCAATTTCTGTGTATATGCTTCTGCCAACAACCACTCGCTGTCTGTCTCTCTCTCTCACACACACACACACACACTCTGTGCTCTTTCCTTTCTCTTCCACCACTTTCCTTTTCCTCCCCTGCTTCAGAATTCCTAGGAGAGGCTGCATAACCATGTGTCATATCCCAGGATTGGGAGACACAAGTTTGTCCTACTGTGCTGCTGTGGCTCAGAACCATGGACAGCGCCTCATGCCACAGGCACGCCCCCTCCTAGTTACGCATGAAAATAGGTTCTATTTGAATAAACCTTCCTGCCTTTCATAATTATTTCACGATACTTTCTACAACTACCATAGTTTTCTTCATTCATTTTTTTAGAATTAAGAAATAGAAAGGTCTACTCAAAACTGCCTATAATGTTAATGCTGTAGTTCCCACTTACTGTTCATTTAGTATTTAGTATAATTTGATCTTGCTGAATTCTTACAACATTTATCAGATTGGTGCTGTTATCACCATTTTCAGACATGAAAAGTGTAGCACACACAGTTTAAGTAATATGCTCAATTCAAACTGTCTCCAAAGCTTGTGCAAACTTCTAAACCAGTTCTGAAATTTTGTATGTAGTTGCTGACTTAATCAATTCCTTCATGCAGATACATTCTACAGCATTGGAGACAGCTGGGGAAGAGGTGAAGACCACTGCCAATTTGTGGATTCACACCTTGATGGAAGAACAGGGCCTCAGTCCTATGTAGAAGCCCTTCCTACCATTCAAGGTAATACAAACAAATGCTTGATATATTACCCTGGGAGGTGGGAGAGAAGGGTTAATAGTGAGGGAAATCCACAGTAGGTCTGCCTTTGCCTTGTCATGTGAAGATGGATGTTGGGAGCACTTAAAGTCATAAAATTTAAAATAAAGAATCAAAAAAATACTCCTATTATGTATGGCTGGGGGGGTGAGCCTCAAGGAGGTGGGGGAATGGCATGAACAAAGGTACAGGGAAGGCAAAGATAAACACACATGCAGACCCACTGTGATGTTTCAGGAGGTAACCTATAAGCTGTTTGATTGTGGCATTATAAGGTGAGGAGAAATATACTAATCTCAAAGGTTAACAATGTAATGTTATTAACTCTCTTGGCCTCCAAATGAATAAACAGAACAACTGAATACAGTCTAGCACCCTTTTCATTATGCACTCAGCTCTGAGTGATCAGGCATTTTCAAGACACAAGATGTTCTGATTTGCTAAATTTTTAGATTGGAAAAAATACTGTAGGTAGCTACATGAATTACCCATTTTCAAAAAATTAAAATACAGTATAATACACAAAACAGTAAAATAAGCATATTAGTCAAGGTTCTTTCATCGAAAGAAACAACCAATAGGATCTATCTATCTATCTATCTATCTATCTATCCATCCATCCATCCATCCATCCATGTATTGTCTATCTGTCTCTACTTTATCTATCCATCCATCCATCCATCCATCTATCCATCCATCCATCCATCTATTATCTATCTGTCTCTACTTATCTATCAATCAATCAATCAATCAATCAATCTATCTATCCATCCATCCATGTATTATCAATCTGTCTCTACTTATCTATCTATCTATGTATCCATCCATCCATATATATCCTTACATCTATTTATCTATCATCTATCCATCCATCTATCTGTTCATCTGTTTGTCCACCCATCATCTATCCATCCATCTATCCATGTACCTACCTATCTATCCATCTATCCATGTATCTATTTATGCATCCATCCATCCATCTAGTCATATATCTATCTATCTATCTACCTGTCATCTATCCATTCATCCATTTATTCATTTATGTATCCATCTGTCTGTCTATCTAATCTATCTATTGATCCATTATCTATCTATTCACATCTATCCATTCATCCATCTATACATCCATCCATCCATCCACCAATCTATCATCTATCCATCATCTACATATGTATGTATGTATGTATTTAAGTATGTATGTGTCTATCCAACCATCTATCTATTGATCTATCTGTTCATCCATCTATTTATCCATCCATATCTGTCTATCCTTACATCTATGTATATATCTATCATCTATCTATATCTATCTCTCCATCTATCTATCCATCCATCTGTTCATCTGTTTATCACCTATCTATCCATCTATCCATATATCTATTTATCCATCTATCCATCCATCCATACATACATACATACACCTATATCTATATCTATATCTATCTATCTATCTATCTAACTATCTATCATCTACCTACCTACCTACCTTCCTACCTACCTATCAATTGATGGATTTATTTTAAAGAACCAGCTCACACAATTGTGGAAACCGGCAAGTCCAAAATGTGTAGGGTAGGTTGTCAGGTTGGAGATCCAAGGAAGAGCTGACGTTGCAGTTCAAATCCAAAGGCTGCTTGCAGGCAGAATAGGTAATTATTTGCCTATTCTGCTTGCAGGCAGAATAAGTAAAGATAGGTAATTCTTTACCTCTGCTTAGGGGAACCTTAGTCTTTTTCTATTCAGGGCTTCAACTGATCATATAAGGCCCACCCACATTATGGAGGGTCACCTGCTTTACTCAGTCTGGTAATTTAAATGTTAATCTTGGCCAAAATGCAGTGGCTCACACCTGTAATCCCAGAACTTTGGGAGGCTGAGGTGGGAGGATTGCTTAAGCCCAGGAGTTTGAGACCGAGGCAACATAGTGAGACCCCATCTCTACAAAATTTTTTTTAAAAAATCCAGGTGTGGTGGTGCAAGCTTATAGTCTCAGCTCCCCAGGAGGCTGAGATGGGAGGATTGCTTGAACTGGAGAGGTCTAGGCTGCAGTGACCTAGAGGTGACCTAGTGATCTAGAGGTCTAGGCTGCCTTTGGATCAAAGAGCCATTTGGTCTGTCCTACAAGCCTGTCTTGGTTATGTGGCTCCACTGGAAGTGGGCAACAGCCTGGGCAACAGAGCAAGACCCTGTCTCCAAAATAAAGAAAAAGGAATAAAATAACAAATGTTAATCTCATCTAAGAAATACTTTACAAAAACACTAATGTTGGATCAGATATGTAGCCTAGTCCAGCTGACACATAAAATTAACTATTACAACAAATCTACAAAATACATCACCTTTCTTCATTTTTTCAGGGTCTTGCAGTCCCTCCAGGGTTACTAGTGCCTGCGTTATCTGTATTCCATGGTGTCCCTGTGACTGTGGTTGTGGGATTGACTGAACAGAGCTTTTGGGTATTTAGCACACTCACTGGTGGAAGGGCAGGCAGCTATTTATTTGGCACAAGTCAACAGGGCCAAACGTGTGAGAGCAGTTACTGAGTTTCCAGAAAAATTTTGAGAAGGTTGAGGCATCCCTCCTACTTCAAGGGATAAATGGTTAGAAATGCTACAGGATTTCTGTGAGAGATTTCCTTGAAAGGCCTAAAAATCTACCCGAGGGTCCAGGAATTAAACCTTGGAGGATAAAGGTAAGTTGGGGGCCCTGAGCTCTCTGAGGATGGGGCAGGAACCTGTCCATCCTGGTCAGGGCCTGCCCAGCAGCGAGTGTTAACTAGCAACTGGCTAAAATTATCCTCTTCTGTGGGGAGAGAGAGATCACACCATCCTAGCTGTGTCACATGCATGTGGGGACGGGATGATCCCTACACATCTGCTTGAGATAAATAAATACTTTACGCGTAGTCACTGGGTTCTTATGGAGGAGACCTGAGCTGGTCCCCAGCTCCAACATGGCTCTCAAGTTATGGCTGGGCTATCCCACAAGGCATAAGAGACAGGTGTGGAAGACCCCACCCCAGGCTGGGGTCGGGGCTGGGCCTGAGGTCCTGGCCCTTGCCCAGGGCTGTGGCAACTCACAAAAATGGTTCGGTTTATTTGGAAGTAGTGTTGTTTCCCAAGAGCAACTTACCAGAGGCCTTCTAAGGAGGGGGTATAGCTCAGGGGTAGAGCATTGGACTGCAGACCAACAGAGGCCTTCTGTCTGACGGAGACTGTAAGGATGAGTTTTACCTGTTGGTTCAGGGACCTCTGACACGTTTCCCCTCTCCTGTTGCTCTTCCAGGCTACTATCGCCAGTATCGCCAGGAACCCGTCAGCTTTGGCAACATTGGCTTTGGAACTCCCTATTACTATGTGGGCTGGTACGAGTGTGGGGTCTCCATCCCTGGAAAGTGGTAATCACAGGACAATCGTGCTGCAAGCTCGCCCTGCCTAGCCCCACCAACTAAGTCGCACTAGGGGCTGTGAGTAAAGATAGCCAACGTGCCCAGCCCTGCTGCCTCAGGTGCCAGGAAGGCCACAGATGGACACTGGCCATTCTGGTCATCTCAGTCTGGAATTCAGTGCCACTTCTTGGCCTGGACAATGAACAGGATTCAGTTTTGCTGTTAACTTTGCTTCTCCACTTTTTTTTTTGTTTGTAATAGCACATTCCAGAGACATCAGACACCAGTTGCTGACTCAGTGTGATTTCCAGACTTTTTAGGCATGAAATTCGGACACTTCGGTATTTCCAGGAGCAGCATATGCACGCTGCTCTTGCTTCATGGAATGCTACGTGCTTTCTGTTTTTCTCATTTTGGATTTCTCCAAAACTAGCTGAATTTAAGCTTTAGGTTCCTTTTTATGCAGTAGAATGGAATTACTAAAAACACCACCAAAGAAAATAAAATATATCCTACTTGAGATTTATTCTATGGACTCACCCACTGCTACACTAAACGTATCAAATCTTATTTGTAAATTCTCAATTTTGATATATATATGTATATATGCATATACATATCCACACTTGTTTGCAAGAATATTGATTAAATTGCTAAATTTGTACTTGTTCACTAGATAAATGTGTGTGGAACTTTTTGGGCGAAGTGCGGTATAATAACATCTTTTAGAAGCATCCAGAGATGTACTATGCATACTTTAGCAACAGGGGAAGGTATATGTTCTTTTTGTGGGTGGTGTGGGGCTCTGAAATGATGAGGAGAATGAGATACTGTCAGTATCAGTACGAGAACTGGCCACACCATTGACAATTGCACACCAAGTGCTTTCCACCTAGGGCAACGATCTTTCCACATCCGCATGGAAAATATATTTGTTGCCGCCATGGAGGCATATCCAGTATGTTCCAGATTGATAAAGATTTTAGGTCCCAAATGATTTAAAAGTCTTGTTTTTAAGAATTCCTTTGGTCTTTCCTTCTTATCTCAATATCTGCTCATTGAAATCGAAGCATCTTGCCTCTCTTAACTGTAGCACAAGAGGGTTTATTTAAAGACATTTCATTCTGATTGTTTAAAACATGCCGTCCTTTCCGTGAGCATGGTTGGTCCCAGTCCCTCGGGAGGCACAGCACCATGAAGGGCTCATCTTCTTTCACGAAGCTGTCAGCAGAAAAGCAGCAATGGTGGAAATGGGCTGGAGGCATTATTTTCTGGGGGCTTTGGGCTGTACCCCTATGCCGCCCATTCAACCGCAGAATGCAGTCCCAGTTCCTGGAGTTGATTATTATCAGTGGCAGCACTGACTTGAGGTGAAACCTAATGTGTCTGGTAGTTTTGAAGGTAAAATGTACAAAGGAGAGTGTAACTTTGCAAGGTCTTTGGGTTGGAGCCATGATGTCTGGTATTTTCCTCATTCTACAATCTCCTTTCTACAGTCAACAATGGTAAAGAAAATACAAGCATTCTGACCTCCTGGAAAAGCAGAATTCCTTAGGGAGACAGATCATGTGTTACCTATGTTTTAGTTTGCAAAACAGAGTGGAAGTCTTTAAGCAGCTTTGGGGTCTCATATATAAAAAGGGAACTCAAGAAGGAGATGCCCTATTTTTCACACTGATCAACATTCAAATATGCTTTGCAATGCCAAGTCAAAGATAAGATCTGTAAATATAACTGAATTTCCTAATAAGCACATAACTTGCTTCCTTTATCTCCTCTTCCTCCAAATTTCTGTCAGTATCTGTATTATTCTGCTTTCACACTACTGATAAAGACATACCTGAGACTGGGTAATTTACAAAAGAAAGAGGTTTGTTGGACTTACAGTTCCCTGTAGCTGGGGGGGCCTCACAATCATGGTGGAAGGTGAAAGGGAGGCCTCACAATCATGGTGGAAGGTGAAAGGCACATCTCACAGAATGGCAGACAAGAGAAGAGAGGTTGTACAGGAAACTCCCATTTTTAAAACCATCAGATCTCGCGAGACTCATTCACTCTCACGAGAACAGCATGGGAAAGACTCGCCCCTTGTTTCAATAATCTCCCACAGGGTCTCTCCCACAGCACATGGGAATTGTGGGAGCTATGAGATTTTGGTGGGGACACAGAGCCAAACCATATCAGTATCCACCAGCAGGAAAAGATGCTAGCATGAGCCGTTAAGCAGCAGAGCACCAGCAGATTGCTCATTTCCTGCAAATGTTTTCTTGGGTGAAAATAACTCAGAATTCATGAGAAAAGAGCCATTTGGTCTGTCCTACAAGCCTGTCTTGGTTATGGGGCCTCACTGGAAAAGGTCAGCATTAGGGCTCAATATAGAGATAGAAGTGACAGCTCCTCTGTGATTTTCCACCCCTCAGAGAAGTTTACGCTCACTTCACAGAAGTACAAAGAATTCACTGGCATGCACTCATGCAATGATTTTTGAGCTCTGCCTGAAATCTTTAGGCTGTATTTGATTACAGAAATTTGAAATTTTATTAAAAATAAATGTTTGCAATTTTAGATGAAAATTACCATAATTCTTGTCAGAGTTGCCAAAACAAAAACAAAAATGATGCATCCAAGCATAGGCGGTAAGATTGATGATCAATATTCTGCCCAAGTTAATCAAATCTCTAGAAATGCATAAGTTTTGGAGGCCACATTTTAGGAAATCTATTTGCAGGGAGATGCCAAGAAGGAGGCATTCATGTTAGTAAGAAGTTTGAAAACCATTTCATATCAAATTAGGATGAACTTGATTGGAATGTTTACCTAAAGAGGGAAAAACCTCACCTATTTAAAAAGCCTGTGAGAAAGAGGACAGCTTGCCAACTCTTGAGGTCAGAAGTAGATACAAGTGGGAACCAGGAAAACAAAATTTGGCTCAATATGACAAAGAATCTTAGAAGGATCCAACTATCAAGGGAGCCTCATTGGGAACCAGTGAGATGTCTGTCCCCGAAAAACTAAACGTAACTGGAAATGTCTAAACTTTCAACGTAATGCCCCTGGCCTGTGAGCTCAGGATGTTTTTTTGTTTTGTTTCCTGTTTAAAGGGTTGTAGGCAAAACAGTTAAACAGAAACCCAATAGTGTTCAACAGGGCCACATGAGATTCATAAGGCCTAACATATATACTGTTTGGTCCTTTAGAAAAAAGATTTTGTACCCATAGATTAGCATTTTCTTGTGGTTTGAAAAAAGTTTAAGCTATGTCCTAATTAAAAAACGAGCACAAACTACTTAGTAGATGTCTGTTCCCTCTCCTCTTACTTCAATCATCTTTATTTTCACCATCGCCTCCCAGTGCCGAACACCTGAACTCTGCATTTCGTGGTTGGACCCTGGGTGGCCAGGTTCCTGTTTGGCCGGTCCCTGGCCTGAGGGGCGGTCTCAGGAAGTGGCGGGCTCTTCTGGAGGCATCGTGCGTCTCTCATATAACCATTTTGTTCATAATGGTTGATAATTTCCAGCTTTTACCAGATGAGTTTTGACTTATTTTTTCTACTTTGATCTATTCAAGCTACATTATCTTGGTTGGTTCGAGCGGGTGGGGGATTGGAGAATGTGAGGAAGTGTGGGTTAGAATTGGCTTGGCTCTTTGGGCATGGAAAGAGTTCCCAGTCGACTGGGCACAATGACAAAATGATTCCACGGATAGAATTGGACCATGTTGCTGCCACACCTCATGTGCTGTGGATGCCTTAAAATCCTGCCATGCCTTCTCTGATTCCCCGTCAACTTCCTGTAGTTTCCACGAGGGTTTGTCTCTCTGTCCCCCCATCCTCCAACTCTACTCTTTTACCCTCTCCTCCTTCCCTTACTTCCCTTCTAAATTCCAGGAGATGACCTCACTTTGCAAAGCAAATTGGAGCCACCAAATTGTATTTTTCCTCGGCGGAAACTGCATCTGTGCTCATCCCTGAACCTTCTTGCCGAAAGCTGCCCCTTCAGGCCAAGATGAATGCCTGCTCCCAGGGGAGACTCAGGCACTTTGATCCCCTGTGATTCAGCGTCTTTAAAGATTCTTTCCCAACACTCAGACGTGCTCGAGTCTCCCCATCACTCCTGCCCCTTCAGCTCCCATCACACTGTCCTCCACTTACAGCTGAGCTTCTGGAATAATCACCCTTGTTTTAACTCTCCGTCTCCTCCGCATCCCATTCATTTCTCACTCCACCGCGCCATGACTTCCAGGGTCCCCTCCTCACACCCTCACTCTCCCAGGTCCCCAGTCACTCCAGGGGCTGAATCGGGTGGCTGCTGGGCAATCTGTTCTGTCTCGGTCTTTCAGCAGCACGTAGTAGTGTTCACCAGCTTGTCCTCTTGAACTTTCTCTTGCCTGGATTTTCCCCTTCCCTGCTCCAGAATAGCAGCCGGGCCTTCTCACCCTTTGTTTAAGGGGATGTGGTGCTTTGGGGTAAAAACATAGTACCCGAATGCCTCTTTCTCCTCGGACTTTTCTTTCAAAAGCCAAAACACACTGAGGAGAACGTGTAAGGGCAGAAGTTGGGGTAAGTGAGTGCTTTTGGGGTTGTTATGGGGGCAAGACTTGCAAAGAGCAGTGGACGAGGAGACATTCCCCGGAAGACTGCACAGCGGACACCAGGCTGGGCTTCTAGGGAGGGGCCCTGCACACCACTCCTTCCTGCCTCTCCGGGATGGGGCAGAATGCGGATGGCTGCGGTGAGCCCCTGAGGCTGGGCCTGGGCCTGCAGAGGCTCCTGGCTCACCCCACCCTTGTTCTTACTCCCCACCTCTTTGTGGTGGAGCAGGAGGCTGCCTGCCTTCTGTCGGGGCCATAGAGGCTCCGGCAGTGAACACAGAACTGGTGACACGTTACTTCTCTAATTCACCGAGCAAGGGTCAACTGACTCCAAAATATATGCCAGACACATTTGGAGATACTGTGGCACAGAAATACACAGGCCCTGCCTTCATGGAGACGGTGTCCAGAGGGGAGCAGAAGGAAAACACACAGCCAGTGTGCCAGGGGTCAGGCGGTGCGAATGAATGAACGTGAGTAGGACGATGATGCTACCATAGGCAAGATGGCCCTGAAGACAACAGAGGCCCCGGAAATGCTCGGGTCCTGCAGAGGCCTCACACACCGCGGGGCTGGGAGAAGGGAGGCGAGCATGGCGGGAGCACTGGAAGTGACTGGGGTGAGTCTGCTCCATGACTCTTCTGTATCCCTGCTTTCCACAACCTTAGTCACACTTCCACAGAGGCAATAAAACCACCTGAACAGATGCGGATCTTGTACGCACAGATTAAGCAGACATTTATCATTTACTAACTACATGAGGTGGTGCTGTAATGGGAGAGGAACAGCCCGACAGTAAGCAGACGTCCCATTCACACTAGGGAAATTCAGGGAGACTTTATAAAGGAGAGCCAACCAAAATTAAGGCCATTGAGGCAGAAACCGTTTGATCAAGGCTTATTGGAAACCAAACGCGAGAATCGACCTAGGAAGACACATCAACGAAGGGGTATGTCCCCAGATCTGCTGCAAGTTGGAATGTTTTTATAAGACAGTTTAGGAGAAGGGAGAGGGACTCCTGTTATCGGGGCTGTCCACTGGAGGGTAGGATGCAGAAGTTACAGTCATTGGCTGCAGATGAGAACAT